CGATCACCCCTAGCCGAGTCGTCCGCAACGAATCACTTGGCAGCAGCGATTGAGAGATCCTCAAGAGATTTACAATTATATTTACAACTTTCGTCACTTTATGCCGACTTGTCGATACTCGGGGCAGGTTAGACCTAAGGAACCACGTTTGTCACCGAAAGCGAACCACTTTAACAGTCGATCACCGGGCAAAATGTTCCCGACAGAGGTAATTAGAAGTTACCGGATGACCAATTTCATCCATGCGTCAAGTGAACAAGCGAACGCAGACGGACATAAGCGCTCCTTTACAAAGCGCAGTAAGGGATGCTGACGCTAACCCCACAACACGCCACCGCTCAAACCGTCATGATGCATTTACTGGAGTTGACTGTCATACCAAAGTGGTATCACGGAAGAAACTATAGCCCAACGGAAGATAGAAGTCAGTTCACATAGATGGGAAACATAATATTGAAACTGTCTGGACGGCATCAATGACGGGCAATGTAGAAAATTACAGAGTGCTAATTGATTATTTTGTTTACTTATGATCAAATATATTTATTGTTAAAAATTATTTACTCATATTTTCTTCTATCGTTATCCATTATGCTGTACTAGTGTCATAGCTGTCATAGTGTCTTGGGCATTTTTTTATGACATGAGATCATAACGCTGACATAACATAACCTTACTCAATGCTTTCAGGCGAGGTTCGGTCAGAAAAGTTTGGGTTGATTATTATCATTACCAAAACTCTCGTTTCAAGCTAGGGGGATAGTACGAATATGATTTTCTAGTAATTACGAAGTCAAATTAAATTGCAGATGTGATTTACTAGTGGTGGTATCTGGTATGTCTAGAGGGATGCACTAATGTGCAGATTTTGTGTGTGCACGCTATTCCAGTTAATTTTCAAGGGTACAATGATGTCGCGAATGCTAAAAGTAGTAGCAATCGATTTTTCACAATTCGTCGTGCGTGGATTTAACCAAGTGTGATCGAGTGCTATTATCTCGTAAAAAAAGTCTAACGTAATAAATTTCTTTATGAAGTCATGTCAAGAAATTATTTAAAAGCTCGTAAAGGTCATTCACGAATCAAGAAATCGTATTCTGTGAGTACTTTCTACGAGGGTTAATTAATTTTCGATCCCTCGAGACTGTGAGGGTATTTATACACCGTTCGACTCCACTACCCTTAGCTGCATTTCTTATCGAAAGTTCAGGCAACCCGTGACGTTCGAAGAGTCCGGTAGCCTTACGAGCACCTTTAGTACAGCTTTCGGGATACACTGTATACCTATCCTTAATCTTTATTAATTAAATCGCAATTAACACCGTAGCACTTACCACCCATGTTTATGTATATACGTATATATGCTATACCATATATTTATAATATATCAGGTTATAACGTAAGGGCACTCGTCGCGTGTTTAACCGTGATTCGCGAAGGGTTGGTTACGTTATGGGAACTTGGTGCCGAATGACGTTGCGTGTCCGGACTCTTGGCGCCAGCCGAGCGAAACGGTTCACGAAAGCTGCCACGAAATATTTAGCCAGACGATATTCCGTCACATCTTTGTATAGTTACGCGAATACGAGAATAATAAACGCAAGATCGGATACGCTTTGAATATCGTCATCCTGATAACTTCTGATACGACAAAATGCTTTGTGTACTCTACGCCATTGTCTATTAGAAATACCAGTTCTTGCATCCTTACCTGGAAACATTTATAATGTTTATATACCATATACGTGATGTATTTGATAATAAATATTCTCACATAAAGCAAGATTTTGACTCCTTCGAGTCCAGTTCTACATACTGTAACGTAATTACAGTTTTGATTCTGTATGTGAAATCTATGAAGATAAGTTCCTTAAGTTCAGATCTATGCTTATGTTTCTATACATTTTTCTCTATACAGGAGAACGGTATCGAAATTACATAGGTTTTCGTTGCTCTGTGACGGTATTAAACCTTTTTATTTGGAACATGGCAATTCGGTCAACTGTTTCATTTACTGTTTCGAAATCATTATAATTTTCGTGAGTGTCGGTAAGAGTTTGCAAAAATGTCAAAACCGTGACGGAGATATATCCTGAAGTCTGGAAAGCAGTCAATTTGCGAAATTAAATTATATGAAGTGAAATTATCTCAATATATTGGGTATATATATTTCTATATACTGTAGCGTCGTCCGATATATTCAATTTCCAGTTCTGTAGAATTTTGTAGAAATAGAAATAACACGAATAGGAAGTAAATCTACTTGTCGCTTTTGCTCGGGGGTTTGGTACGTTTACGAAGTTACCTACGTTACCTTTCAAAACTGACAGGTAAATTTACTACTATGTTTTTGAGACGAAGGGAGTCAGGCCTGGTACTTTAAACGTCATTTTGAAAATTGGTCAAGTAAGAAGCGTGGGTTTGTTCAAAATAATGCTAAGACGCGAAAGATTTTCCGAACCGGAAAGTGGAGGAACTTTTTCGAGAATAGGAGAGAAGTAAAACGTAAGAGAGTCGAGAGTGATGACGTAACAATGGCTATAGATGTTTGGAGCCAGTTCAAAAGATCCTATATGACAAAAGAGACAAAGGGTTGATCGAGCGAAAGCGATGAGTAAGTAGAAGAAAGGGTGGAATTTGTTTTTTTCTAGTGACAAATGAGTTTTTTCTTATCACTACGTTTAAAATATGTCTAACTGATTAACATACCTGGGATATGTAATAGATAACGCACGTGCAATATAGAACTAGGATAATTCATAGCTTTCATAAAATGTAACAAATTTATGTCAAATGATTATGCGTTATATTGAAAAATAAAATAGATTAGTTTATTTTGGTGATACTGGAGATGAGAAAAGATAAATTACACTTGAGGAGTCTTCGTGCGTAAGAGGCATCTATATACGCTTTATATTTCGTGTCCACAGGCGGTAACGATCCATCCAAACTCGTATGGGATATTGTTATGGGGATGTGCTAATTTCGAATTACTTTGGATTCCCCCATCCCCCAGTCGCAGGTTGATGGCTACCATTAGAGATATAACTATATCGCGTGAAATATTGTTTTAACATTCAAAAGATTTTTCAATTGCTTTCTCTTGGAACTTACAATACAAACAGTTTGTTTTCTTGATCAAGCATGTAAGGGGAAAGAGAATGGTACATAATGGTAAAGAAAGACGGGATCCTTTGCAGTGGTGGAGGTAGCAGTAAATACGCATTTTCTTTCCTTTGTTCTTGTTTCAATACTTAACGAAGGTTCCTGCGGTAAGCTCGAAAAGTTCATGAGCCGTGTCAAGCATTTATAAGACGCAGAATTTGGGTAACCAGAGGCGATGGGGGAAACGACCATGGCCATCAGAAATCGTTAAATAAAAATAGGTAGGCGTTGCGATTATGAGAATCAACAGAGTAGGGTGGGTAAAGGGATTTAACGTAAATGTCACGACGTTCAGTATATTTAAAAGGTGCAGCGAGGGTTTATTTCGATATGATATTACTTAGAAGCAAAAAAGGCCTGGCAATTTTTTCTCTTTGCTTCCCTTATTTCGTAGCTTCACTTTCATATTTCCTAGCCATAAACACCTCTCCTTCTTTCTCTCGCTCGTTTCTTACTCATTCTTGATAGCAATGGAAACATTGAGGCCGATGCTTTTTCGCCCACGAGAAAGGACGAAATGGCAGATGTTAATGGAGCCGGCCACTTTTAAAGATTAAAGATAATTCCATAGCGTATCGCCCTCCTGTTCTCCAATATAAGGTATCATCTAGATACAAGATAATACGAATCGATAGCCATTCGTCGCTTGGTCTTTCGTCTATTGAACACAGCAAGGCGATATTAGATTATCGGTTCTGAATATTAAAAAACAATACAATCACTCCTTTTTTTGAATTTGATATTGTATATTTGAGTATTTGTATTATTCACAAACGCTGCAGGATATTAGGATAGGATATATAAATATGCTGAATGTGCCATATTTTCAATATCAGTAGGGATGGGTTTTAGATTTAGTAGTTATATGAAATTTGATATATTTTTTTCTTTTGAAATCTTCAAGTTTTTATTTGTTATTATACATTAAAGTAGAGGATCTGACGAACACAGACCAGGAAAATCGTCGGGTTATCTATGCCAAGGGTACATAACCTTGTGTACCTATTACACAATGAGAACGTCCCAGCCCATATGTTTTGCGTGATTGACAATATTACATTTCACGAGTTTCTATCCGCGTAATTGAAACACTCTTCCCGTTCTCATACGCTTTTTATGTTACGACTTCATGATATTACTAGCTACGTCGTAATAACAGCATTACTTTGACATATTGTCTCGAACGATATTAAACAATTTTGAGAAATATTAGAAACTGAGGTAGGTCTATATCGACTTATGACGTAGCTGAAATCTATCCGTAATAGCGTCTAATATGTATATAGAATTTCGCCAGTTTTTTTCGAACAATTCTATTTCCGTACGAGAGTTGTATAGATCTAATAAATTGCTTCGTAATTACCCTCTGGTTTTGAATCGCGATAACTCATGCAATTTTTGATTGTTAAATGGCTGCAAATTTATTAAGTAACACATAGGATATTAATGATGGCGAACAAACGTTATTAACCTTACAATTATTCATAAGGGTCCCTGTTAACCCAAGGAACAAGGATACGTCCTCTGCCATGTCTTCATTTTCCATCTTCTCGTTTGCTCCCCTACAAAACCGTAGAAAAGTACTCACGGTAGCTTCTTTATTGATTGCTTAAAGGAATTGGCCGGCGCCGCCCGCGTCGCATTGGTCGATCGTTCGCCGAGTGACGTCACTCGGGCACCCTGCTATTGATTTTCCCGAAATAGAGCGTCGGGATTGGTCCGCGAGCCCGGAAAAACGAGGCAATACCATGTCCACGTGACCTGCGGTAACGTCACCGCGCAAAAGCCGCGGCCATGGCTCATGCGAACTGTCTTCGCATGCTCGCCACCGACGGCGCGCGCGTCGCTTGATGAACTACTCGTATCCTTGCGACTACGGAACGGCACGGTCTAAGGGTAGACGTGCAATAATGTTCGCGAGCGCGGCTCCGAACTCTATCACGACCGATATCACGTTTGTTATAGTGCGCGAGTTGTGACTTTTGTTCAGTGATCGAGAGGATCGCCTCCCAGGAGTTTTCTCGAAGGATTTTATCGTAAACGACATTGCTATCATTGGGGGTAAGTCTGCTTTATCATCGATCGTGTCTTAACGGCCTGTCGGACTTCCGTTCACCATCGATTATCCCTATGGGGTTCTAAGTTTCGTATGTAATTAACTACATTAACTACCTCGTACGTGCTCTAATGATTTTCTGGTAAATTGATATTGCTCGATGGTGATTTCAACGTAGGACTTATGTTGAGACTTGTATCGATCACCGAGGCGTCGCTTTTTCGACGTCGTAATCTTTCAAGGCGGAGCATCGACGAAGATGGTCGTTGAAGGGTATATTCGAAAAATATCAAATTTCAACTCTCCTTCAATCTGTGCTAGACGGTACAGTTAGTATTATGTTCAGAACGGTGTAGTATCGTGGGCTGCCATTTTGATGGCTTTAGGGTAGGTTCTGTTCGCTGAAAAACAATCAACCTTGAATTTAAAGCTTTAAATTAGTATTTTCGTATAAAACTTAGTAAAAAAAGTCTAGACAAATTTTTGTGTCCTTGACATGGTGTATGATGCAGACTTGTATCCCCACTATAGTCATCGCGCATTTCTAATTCGTTTTACCCATATAAATACATTTGCGATGACGGATCAAAGATCAGTCGATCATAGCATTGAGTCAACTACTACCAATTAGGTTCAATCATCTAATCATAATTCCAATATCCATCATTTTAAATATTCCAAGTGCGTTTCAAAATTTTAAATTGAGTTTGACTAATTCGTTGCACATAGACAATTTTTCGTTCAAAATTACCATGAAAATCATGATAATCCTTGAACACCGTGGCATTTCATAACGTATCATATGTTTCTTTTAAAATATTTCAATATAGGACTTAAGTTACTTGGATGCCATATGTGTTATCCAACGCCTGTATTCTATATCCAACTAAAGACAAATTTGAAAAAGCAGTGACGTATTACGCTTACGTATTTAGCGAATCCTCCACTCGACTGACAACCCTTACGAAATACGAGCTTCTCGATATTCACGTAGTATCATAATTCTGCCCACACACCTTTCCCGTCTGGACATTATTCGAGTGACTCATCGTTCATCCCTTGGTATCCCGTTACCAAGCACCATATTCGACCCATTTAATATTTTGTCTTGTGCTACAAAGACTTAAATAATTTTCACTCTGCTGCTTTATTAGTGAACGGGTTTGAAGAACCCGGCACTTTGTACCCTTTTATTATTTACCCTTTTTAAGGGACAAGTGAATCATTGAAAACACCTACGTGTCATACGAATTCCTTATCGATTAATCGATTAGTATTAATAGCAGATTTGATTGTGTTCTAAAAAATTCGTCATCGCGCCTTTGATGATAACAGTAATGTGATTTGATCGACAACGCGTTACTGGATCTTTGGAATTGAAACAAGATTATACCCTTATGCTATGGATTGTAAACTCTAAGCTCTTAAGAGAACTTTGATGGAACTTGGAAGATATACGTTATTTAAAATTTCCAAAAAATATCCATTTCATTAATCGTTACAATTTAATTTAAATTGTACCCGCTTGTATCATATATACGTTCTCAAGCATTATTCAAATAATTTATAACGACTCCGTTATTAAATGCTCATGCCCTTTAGGATTCCCATAGGATACACAATAGGCCGACGCTCGATCCATAATGAATTCTCAACGCTCTTTAATTAAACGAGGAGTTACTACGTTATTTAATCGAAATAATTCGCGTCCATTAAATCAATATATATTGACTTAACGTTTAAACAATTTTTTTTGTCACAGCAGGTCCACCCAGGAATACGTTAAAAGCAAGAGAAACTAAAAGAAAAGCTTGAAGATGTCGTCGGTGAAGGTGGCGGTACGGGTACGTCCCTTCAACAACCGGGAGATTTCCCGTGAAGCACAATGCATCATCGATATGACTGGCAATACCACCTGTAAGTTACTATTACTCTACAAAAAACGATGAATTTCTATTACGCTTCGTGTAACATGGGTGACAATCATCCTAACGACCTATATCCGTACATGTGTTAATTATGATAATGATAGACTGCGATTACCTGTATGAATGTTTTATCTACTCAAAAATCAGATAAATACATGCATACCCAATGCTGATAGGTAACTTTTTTGAAATTTTATAAAAGTGACTATTTATAATCCAATCACTGTTTCGGTAGTACAGTCGCATAGGTCTAGTAGTTGTTGCGCGTATATACTGGACATGTAGTAGTATTGCAGGGGAAAAAACACAAGAAAGATTTTAAGAAAAGGATAAAACATAGAAGGGAAGGGCTCAGTCAGCATCTCTGAGCAGGATCGATACTGGTAGCGGCACTGGTGACTCACCATGTTTCCTTTTATTACTTCTACTCTGTTTTCGTTCCAAGGATTCGATTATAACTTGAGAGAAGTAATAAACGATATACACACATATATACATATAGTATATTTACAATCTATATATTTATATATCAGTCTTCCTGTGGTACAAAAATGCAACTCGAATATCGTATTCAGGAATCTTTGGATAAGGATAATTTGGATCGAACTTATTCTACGATATTCGAATGATAATTGATAATCTGATTATCGTAGACTCGAGAAATTCTCATGCAATTATTATACATCAATATATCAGACAGGTATTAGTTTCAAAATTCTATTTCTAGAAACAATGTACAGCCTTAGTAACAATTTCATCTGCTGACGCGATAAGCCGTCCTACGTCAGCTGAAAACAATGCGTGATTAAAAGGTCGTGCACCAGTAACTTTTTCCAACTTCATAACGTATCCACCGTTGTAGCGTGTATCGACCTTCTTGTCGAATCCCTCTATCCCACGGAAATAATCAGGATTGTTTCCGCTCAATCTCGTCTCGCAATTTCCGCTGTGGAATGTCTCCCATGCTTCACATACAAAATAATATCAACAGATTTCCCATATAGGTAATGAACGAAACCACGATATACGATTGCAACATATCTTTCGCTAAGAACTTTCATTTTCTGGGTGTTACCTGCCCTTTTCTTATCGCTGTTGCTTGTAAAAGGCCTTTGCCCTTTCACGCTGAAATAATTGAAAAGGAGAATGAAGCAGTCTTGATTAAATTTGTTCTTTCAATTTTCTCCCTATTCAATCATCAAAAGCTGAATTAGAAGTTTTTTCGCTGTAAGATATCACGCAAACGCATTTCCAGTATTTTGTCTGAGGTGGTGGTATTATTTGTACATCGTACTAGGTATATCCATATGTTACGTATCTAGAATTTTTCGTTTTTATGTCCGTTCTGACCGCATGTGGGTGGTATTTATTTAGGGGTAGAGTTTCAGTCGCGTCATGAGGATGGTTTCAGGTGATCAGTTTTCAGGGTCGAAATAAAATAGTAGCCTTATTATAAAAGAAATTTGTCATACTGATTCCAAAAGTCTATTTATTGCGTTATACATCAAATACGTGATATTATTCCCTTCGATTATGATTAAGAAATTCGCCTCAATCCAGCTGTTTATTTTTCTATTTGTATCGAAGAAATGGCGCACAATTAATCATCAACCCAATTACGAAATTAATTTGTCCCGTCGCGGCTTCCCGTGGTCTTTCGGGCTTAAGCATCCCACACATTTTGTCGATTGGACGGGCTACGTGCTTCAGCATTACCTTTTACTTGAAAGCCCTTCGAACCCCTCCTGCGTTTCTGGATGATCTTCGACGCTCGTGAAAAGATTACGCCCGCGGTATTCGATAAACCTGATAGTTACTTCTTGTTTGTATTGGAAATTTACAGCAAGAAGCTAATTGAGGTTTCCTTCGTGTTTGGGCGTAATCGCCTGCAGGTAGGATTTTACGTATTACGTAAGCTCTGTCACGATAAACAAGATTAAATGGCAAACGGATGAGATAGTTCGCAAATGTGGATTAACGTGAACCCTTATTATCGTTTCTTATATGAAACGACAAAATGTAAGTTATTGCTGGGCAATTAATAACGTAGGTTGCAGAAATTAACGTTGCGACGTTGATCTTGTTAAATGCAGAAATTAATGAGAATTTATCAGAGCATATGGTATCTTTTGGTTAAATAGGTAAACTAAAATGAATTTTCTTTAACTTTCAGCAATAGTTAATCCAAAAGCGCCACCTGGCAGTAAGGATGCCATCAAGAGCTTCAATTATGACTATTCCTACTTCTCCATGGACGTAAGTAATCAGTTTACGGTTGCTTTATTACTTTTGTATCAATTGAAGCGATTTTGAGAAATTTCTGGGAAAAGTATGCGCTTCTCATTCGGAGCTAGAGGCTCTGTAAAGTCTGTACGTAGCTGCCTCTTATGAATAAATACAGAAGAAACCTATACTAGGATAGTACCTTGTGAAATATTCAAGATGGTATCGCTGCGGGGCACGCGCAAGCCGAAGACTTCCCACGGGATCTGGTATTCCTGTAAATGGCGTTGTCTAGTATCGCCTGCAACTTCATGAATCTTACGTCTTTACAATAAGTCGTATCGACAAACCTTATTTCAAATAAGGAGAAATTGTTACTCGTGTTTACTCGTAAAAATTTCCAGATGCTCGCAATCAAATGGGTTTATTAATATGTATATACAGAACTTTTTTAAATATTAAAATTAATCCATTGACGATGGTAAATTTGTATAATGGATAACATATTACTTACAGCCATGCGATACAAACTACTCTTCGCAAATTATGGTGTACAAAGATATCGGGGAAGAGATGCTGGAGCACGCATTCACTGGTAAGTCTTAAGAGAAAAGTTGGATTAAAATAAATTGTGCTTATACGATTCAAGAATTTTGTTTTATCGAAAAATCTTTGTGTCTGCAGGTTACAATGTATGCATATTCGCTTATGGACAAACTGGCGCTGGAAAGTCGTACACGATGATGGGTAAACAAGAGGATGGCCAGGAAGGGATTATTCCACAGATTTGCAAGGATCTATTCAGGAAGATCAGCAAGAATACGAGCGATCAATTGAAATTTTCAGTCGAAGTTAGCTACATGGAAATTTATTGTGAGCGAGTCAGGGATTTGCTCAATCCTAAGAACAAAGGAAATCTTCGCGTACGCGAACATCCTGCCCTTGGTCCTTATGTCGAAGATCTTTCGAAACTCGCAGTTATGTCCTACGAGGACATTCACGATCTCATTGACGAGGGAAACAAAGCAAGGTTTGTTATTGACCGATATATGATCTAATTACAAGTTAAAGGGAGTCTAAAGACTATGGAATATCTATGTTTTTCTAGAACTGTCGCTGCCACCAATATGAACGAGACTTCAAGCAGGTCTCATGCAGTTTTCACGATCTTCTTCACCCAGCACAAATGTGACAGTACGACCGGTATGGATACTGATACAGTGAGCAAGATCTCGCTTGTTGACCTGGCAGGATCAGAGCGTGCAGATTCAACGGGAGCCAAAGGTACCAGGCTGAAGGAAGGCGCCAATATTAACAAGAGTTTGACCACCTTGGGCAAAGTCATCAGTGCGCTTGCCGAGATCGTAAGAATCATTACTTTCTTTACTTTTAGATGATCGAACATTATTTAAATAGTTAGAGCTTTAGAGTAACGTAAGATTATTGTTTATGCTATGCTATCTTTTGTGGAACTCTTTAGGCGGTAGGTTTTGTAACAAAAGTGAATTGATGTCAAATGATCCAATACTATTTTGCGTGATGATAAATAATATTACTCACTTTTTGCTTCAGGCTACCAATCAAGCTACCAAAAAGAAGAAGAAGGCTGACTTCATTCCGTACCGAGACTCGGTATTGACTTGGTTACTTCGTGAGAATCTTGGAGGAAACTCAAAAACGGCTATGATTGCAGCCATCAGTCCTGCCGACATAAATTATGATGAAACTCTTTCTACACTTCGGTAATTATCATTGACGTATAAACATACGCAAGGGATTCTAAAAAAAGTTGTATCCACATGAAATCACTCCCAATCCCAGATACGCTGATCGAGCCAAACAAATCGTCTGCAAGGCGGTCGTTAACGAAGATGCCAATGCTAAGCTCATCCGGGAACTTAAGGAAGAGATTCAGAAGCTACGGGAATTACTGAAGCAAGAAGGAATCGACATGCAAGAAGGTAGGTTATTAAGTAAGTTATTAAGTAAAGCTTCAAAATTTAGTAAAAAATGATGGAACGAACGTGTACATACCAAGTTGTAGACTGCTAGCACAAAATAATGTCCAATCGCAAGTAAAAGAGGTAAGAAACGATCGAAATTCATCCCTTACGATTGGACAATTAAATGCAAATGTACCATATTTAAAAAACTTGAGTGAGATCGTTAAATGATCCGTATAAGAGGTAGGCCGAGTCATTTACATAGTGTTATTTTCTTTGTCCCCTTTGTGCTCGACGTAGGGCCAGATGGCAAAATCACTTATGAAAAGAAAGAATCTAGTAAGTAAACGATATACCAAACACCCCATCACTATCTGCCTCGAGTCAGCTTTTTCACAGCCAAGCTAACTACGTTTATTACCTCATTATACTTGTGTACCTTTATACTCATGTTTTAACTGCTTCGGCTGCCTATATTCATATATTATATATTTTTATTAATTAAGGGGATCAGTTCGTTACATTGCGGTTATCGTCGTACCTGTCGCGAATGATTTTTACAATAACAAGGATATCATCGTCACACGCGATATAAAGCTTTACGATGCCACGTTACAATTCTTGTTTGCATCGAACGTAATGTCGTCAAAGGAGATGCTCGCTGATAACGGAAAGACCTAATGTCGCACTAAAGAATCAAGAAGATCAATACCGAGCGAAGCCGATTTAATATGAAGTGGGAGCAGACGAATAATGATTATGCATAAGAACTTTGTGATTTACCAACCACACATAATTATATATCGTACAGAATGAGTGTCCGTTTCCCAATTCATTTGATATTTGTAGTTAAGATTAGCCTTTGCTTTAGCTTGGCCCCTTTCTGGCTTACGTACATTGAGCGTCTGCCTTTGGCCCTTGTCAAAGACGTTTATTCATAGAATTATATCGCTTTCTTCTCCATGATTAAGTTGCATGGCAGAACTATATTGCACTAAACACCAAAGAGATTGGTTTAGCTTATCGAAGGGTTTCATACCGGTCGCTGGGCATTGCGAATCAATATACGCGATCATGCAAATAATTGGTAGACATTTTTGCTCTTGCTATAAAATTACCCATTTGGCTTTCAGTGTTTTCAAGTGCGTGGTGTCAACTCCATTGTCAGGACTAACGGTATTTGAAGCGTTGAAAAAATAACTTATATCACCCCAGTTTCATTTTGATTTTTCAAATTCACTGATCAAATCTCTTATTATGAACTGTATTATTATCTCCTGTACCTCAATACTTTATGTTAATCTGTGAATCTTCAAAAGAAGAAGAAGAAGATTGCGAATCATCAATATTCCTTTGCGATTATATTTTTTTTATTTATAAATGCAACGAGAACCAGGATCCCACTGGAGTTTAAATTGAATTGGTATCATGTAATTAACGGGTTGACGCCACTCGTTTTCTCGCAGAAAGGTTCAATACGTTTCACGTCGTCTAGATAGATGCATTAACGATTTTCATTTGCTTAGGAGACGAGCCGGCTAACATCAAGGCAATCAAGCGTGAAGATGACGTCAAGGAAACCAGACAACGTGTACCGTCGCATCCAGCATCGACGCTTGCTGAGGAAGCAGTTGATCAACTGCAAGCAAGCGAAAAGCTCATAGCCGGTAAGTTATTCCACGAACCATAAGATAGTTCCAAGTAGATTAGTCGAATAGAACTTGGTTCAACTAGATATAAAATCATTGATGAATTATTCATTGACTGGCAGAACTCAATGAGACATGGGAAGACAAACTTAAGAGAACTGAATCAATAAGATTACAACGAGAAGCTGTTTTCGCTGAAATGGGCGTTGCTGTCAAAGAAGATGGCGTGACTGTTGGCGTATTCTCACCGAAAAAGACACCGCATCTGGTTAATCTGAATGAGGATCCACTGATGTCCGAGTGTTTGATTTATTATATCAAGGATGGCTTCACTAGGATTGGATCGGCTGAAGCTAACATTCCTCAGGATATACAATTGTGCGGACCGTATATACTCAGTGAGCACTGCGTTTTCGAAAATCACGAGGGTGTCATTACCCTTATGCCCAAGAAAGGAGCATTGATATATGTCAACGGACGAGAAGTTACTGAACCTATTATCCTGAAGACAGGATCGCGAGTTATCCTTGGCAAGAATCATGTATTTCGCTTCAATCATCCGGATCAGGTCCGCGAACGGCGTGAGAAAAACTCACCGGCTGAGACTCCAGGAAATGGCGAGACTGTTGATTGGAACTTTGCGCAGATCGAACTCCTTGAGAAGCAGGGTATCGATCTTAAAGCGGAAATGGAGAAGAGGTTGTTAGTTCTAGAGGAACAATTCCGGAAAGAAAAGGAAGAGGCTGATCAACTGTTCGAGGAGCAGAGAAAGGTACAGTACACTACATACTTTTCTTATATAATACTTGTTTTACAATATTTCACTTGTTCAGAGGACAAAGCTATTTGTCAAAGATATATGCATATTAATGGAAACAATGTTGTTAATATATTTTTTTTCGTGTTCAATCAGAATTATGAAGCCCGCATAGATGCCTTGCAAAAACAAGTTGAGGAGCAAAGTATGACAATGTCTATGTACAGTAGTTACACTCCAGAAGATTTTAACAATATCGAGGAAGATATATTTGGTGAGTATATTAAGACGCTGTGCTTAATTTTCTATTCATTTTATTAACAAATACTGCACCAACATAATCATGGAATATATAATATCATTGTATTCCTCATCTGAAATACTCATAGGATGTCATAATCACGCTTCCATTGATGCTGGCTCACCTCGTACGGTTTTCCATTATCATTCAGTATTCATCATCAGTTATTTAAAATTATTTCTAAATCTTGATGTTTCGACGCATGAGCTAGTGTACCCGGCTAAATCCGTCCTACATTGTGCTCAAAAGAGATTCAATCTTAATTAAACCAACAATATTCATACTGATTTTAAAATTAAAGTGAAATCTTTCTTACTTGCATGTATACATTTTTAAAATTTGATATGTCGCATGAGTCCAAGTGAAATAAGATGCGATCTGCATCTTGCAAATATCTTTGAAATTTTGTCTCTTTATTAGAACTTGGCTTGTGGCTTTGTTAATGCAATATACCGTTATGAGAGGGAAGTTTGCATTCGGAAAATTCAATACACAAAATACATATACACAATAATAACCCCATCATACGTAGTTTAACCCTATTCCTTAAAGGAGACGCAATGTGATTGTCTTTTATACGTCATTAAAATATCTCTAAATAACGTTCTTCGTTCCATTGATAAGTAAATCTTATTGTACACGTTACGCTCCTTTAACGGGATAATTGGGAAATACCTAACGCTTGGCTTTTCTGACTGTTTTGCCTGGTGACGGCTTGCATTTCAGTCAACCCCTTGTTTGACGCAGAGAGCAACTGGAGTGAGCGTGAATTTCAACTGGCTGCGTGGGCTTTCCGCAAATGGAAGTATCATCAATTTACCAGTCTGCGAGATGACCTCTGGGGCAATGCGATATTCCTCAAAGAGGCTAACGCCATTTCCGTGGAGCTTAAGAAGAAGGTAGTACCTACAAATTTCTATTGCTCTCCGTTATAACTGTTCCTAAATTTATTCAGAAATCATTTTAAAATCTTATGCAAGTTTTATTTCATACCATTAATTTTTGTTAAGGTTCAATTCCAATTTACGCTACTCACCGATACCCTTTACTCACCCTTACCCGTCGACCTTCTGCCAACAACCGACGATGACGAAGACGAGGAGAAACCATTCCCACGTACGATCGTTGCTGTTGAAGTGCAAGACACGAAAAATGGCGCTACTCATTACTGGACCCTGGACAAGCTTAGGTAAGTGTATCGTTATGGTAAAATTGTGTAATAACGTGAAGTGACTAAGACGTGAAGTGACAAATCCATCTCAAAGGCAAAAGATAGAATAATCGCAGTCACGTGAAGCACACAATATCAGCCGATATTAAAAGAATTCATTAGAATGTTGATTGATGAACGTCTCAGGTAGGCTTTTCATGTAGAAATTACTTGATATGTAGTATAAAAAGTGTTTGTTGCATTCCATCTCCTTGTATTCATAATTGCTAATTATTATTCCCAAGTCATCGCACTATAGACATAGGGGATATGACCACGAAGCGATACAAACGATGGGTCATTGATAAGAGCTGGACTTATCAATAACAATCAGGAGTGTTAAAGTCGTTCGTAGAATTGCGTTAAGTACAACGATCGTCGATCGGCTACTGCAGAAACAGCCACTAACCAAAATTGTACATGTTGACTAGTAGACAGCGCGTGGAGCTGATGCGGCACATATACAATGAAGACTTGAGTCCCAGCACTCCGGAGGCCAAAGAGGATTTTTTCCAATGCCTTACGGTCTACTCTAATCAGAAGTTTTCCCTCGCAAATCTTTTGCCTTCGAGGTTGGTGCTCGGTCGCGCACAATAAACATCCTATAACCGCTTCAGCTCGGCGGATACAAAATTCATTCTGGTTACAGAAACCTTAGAACGTTAATACTTGCTGAGAAGCGTTTCAACAATTTATAATGGCTTTGAAGAATGAGTTATGAATTCGTCGATGTGTTCCCATATCATCGTTTTATCGTATTCATACGTATCAGAAATTTGCGAAAGTCTTGGGTACACAGATTGATCCATCGACAATTCTAATGATCTACAGCGAGACTGGCGCTATATTTCCCCAACACACTCGTCCCATTTTTCTATAACACATTGACATCGTAATTCCCAGTTATTGTGTGGCCGCTTAAAGTACTCTCTTCAATCGACATTATAGCTTGGAGTACTTCGTATCGATTTCCATAAACGTGTTCTTTTGCTTGCGTAGATAGTGGCTACATCATCAGTTCAGGCTTTTCCTTCATCATCGTCCATTAAATCTTATGTTCGGTTGCTTGCAACGGCTTTCGCTTCTGCTAACATTACACTAAGCGTTGCTCCTTTAAGTATAGTGCCTGTCCGAACCCCACGGGACCTTTACTATCGTATGAGACTCTTTTATCACTTTCTGAAAATCGAGGAAGCAAAGTGTCTTGCATATTCAAGAGCATTGGTGATACTTGACGATACACATGAAGTCTGTATCCTTATAGGAATTACTGTGCAATACTTCAATTTATGCTTGAGACCACGAGCTTTAATGGGTGTTCTCCGTCTACAGAGCTTTCCTGGATACACTGCATGACAACCGATGTCTTTCTTACGTTTTACTTTCGTTTAGCTAATAGTGTACAATTACATAGGCAAAGACTGGAACTCATGAGGGAGATGTACCACAACGAAGCTGAACTGTCTCCAACTTCTTTGGATTATAATATTGAAACTATTACTGGCGGTGATCCATTCTATGACAGATTTCCTTGGTTCCGAATGGTCGGCAGGTAATTATCGTTGATCTTCTACGTTGTCGTAATTATACTTATTGAAGAGTTATTCATATTTTTATACATTATTACAGGTCTTTTGTTTACCTGAGCAATCTTATGTATCCTGTGCCATTGATTCACAAAGTTGCAATTGTGAATGAGAAGGGCGACGTTAAAGGATATCTTCGCGTAGCAGTCCAGGCCGTTGTCGGTACGTTTAACACTTAGGATTTTTTATCTCAGAATGTCACAGACCTCTAATCAGTCCTTCTTCTAGAAGAGGAAAACAGCGAATACTCAAGCGGTGTCAGACAATCCGCTCGTATCTCATTCGAGGATGATCTATTTGGTGGACATAGGCAGAACAAACGTGGTACTCTCCTGGCACAGACTTTGGAAAAGAATCAACAGAATCTGTTGCAAGAAGAACGCGTTGTTGAAGGTCAGACAGAAGGGAAAGACTGCAAGGATGTCAAGGACGAGGAAGAAGTCGGTGACGCTGACAGTGGCAGAGGAGATAGCTCCGTTTCTAGCGACATGAAGGAAGACGAGATGCCTGATCATCTTCAACCTGGTGCTCAATTTACATTCAGAGTAACGGTGCTGCAAGCAATGGGCATTTCCACAGAATATGCTGACATATTTTGTCAATTCAAGTACGTATATTGATAGTCATTATTTTAATACTCATTTGTCGTTATATTGTTCGCTCTATCATCGTCCTTATTCATGTGCAGCTTCTTACATCGACATGACGAAGCTTTCTCTACGGAACCTGTGAAGAATACTGGAAAAGGAAATCCACCTGGTTTCTATCACGTACAAAATGTAAGTATTCTAATGTATTAACTTCCTTCCTTCCTTTCCTTATGGCTGTATCCCCAGTGGGGGGCACGTGCCAATTAATGTATTAACTTTGAAGGCAAGACACTGCAAAACACTTATCACGTACTTCTGTAGATCACCGTCACGGTTACAAAATCATTCCTGGAGTATTTGAAGACGCAACCCATAGTGTTCGAGGTCTTCGGCCACTATCAACAGCATCCATTGCACAAAGATGCTAAACTCGAATAGTAAGTGATCCTACGCATAAGAATTGGAAATGTTGAGAAGCCCTTCATGATAAAATGATCCTTCCACAGCAGCGTTCGACAGCCACCCAAAAGGATGTTGCCTCCATCTATACCGATCAGCCAACCAGTACGATCACCAAAGTTTGGTAGTGTCCTACCATCCCCCAGTACATCACACGTTCATGCCAAGTACGACGTGCTTGTTTGGTTCGAAATTTGCGAATTGGCGCCCAATGGAGAGTACGTACCATCTGTGGTAGACCATAGCGATGATCTACCGTGCCGTGGACTCTTCTTACTACATCAAGGCATTCAGCGACGTATACGAATTACTATCGTTCACGAACATGCACCTGAACTTCGATGGAAAGACGTCAGGGAGCTGGTAGTCGGCCGCATTCGGAATACACCTGAACCCGAAGAAGAGGACAACGACTCGTCGGTACTCTCTCTGGGATTATTCCCTGGAGAATATATAGAGATTCCTGGAGACGATAGGTGTATGTTCAGGTTCGAAGCTGCTTGGGATAGTTCATTGCACAATTCAGCTCTACTCAATAGAGTTACCTCGTACGGAGAACAAATATTCATGACTATTTCTGCATATTTGGAGGTGGGTATAGAATATGCAAAGCATTGTCATTCGGTGAGTTGCATACCGATCTTCTATTTTTGTACTTTTACGTTTATGTAGTTGGAGAATTGTGGTAGACCGGCAATTGTAACAAAGGATCTCAGTATGATAATTTATGGACGGGATGCCAGGGTTGGACCACGATCATTGAAGCACCTCTTCAGCGGGCATTATCGTAACCAGGAAGCGAACAGACTCAGCGGCGTTTACGAGTTGGTCCTACGTCGCGCTTCAGAAGCAGGTAGTCCAGGTTTGTCCCGCCTGTCCTTTAGTGTAGCTCCTTGTCCGTTTCAAATTATTTGCATCCGACTTCCCTTGCTGCTTGCTTAATGATACACAAACTTCCTTTATCTTGCGAAACGTTCCCATTTACGTTGCCGGCGATTTTTATACTTCAGGTGTACAGAGACGACAACGTCGAGTACTCGACACTAGTTCTACGTATGTAAGAGGTGAGGAAAATCTCCACGGATGGAGACCTAGAGGAGACAGCCTGATCTTCGATCATCAATGGGAATTGGAAAAACTCACTAGATTAGAAGAAGTTGAGCGAGTAAGACATACTCTCCTCCTCAGGGAAAAACTTGGAATCGACAAAGTTCCCTTATGTAACAAAACGACACACGATTTCACCAAGAGCGAGAAGGTAGGAAATTTGACTGTTAAAAAGAAATTGCAGAATTTACTTGTAGAATTTAATGTGTACTTGTAGGAAGTATGCAACATGGTAGCAAAGGCCACTAATGAGCCACACGCCAGCCCAGTGAAGTTAAAGAAGTCTGCGAGTAAAGACGTTTATGAACCCTGGGAAATGACGGAGAGAGAGCGCGAACTCGCCATAAAATATATCAAGCTCATTCAGGGTCGAATTCCAAGCAAGGAGCCTATTGTTCTTTCCGACGTATCGCCAGGAGAAGATACCATAACTGACATGTCTGCATCCATGATATCCTCTGTCGTTTCATCCTCGTCTCAAGAGTCAGTATACTCGCAACCGTACAACCTTCGAGCACAGGTAACCCTCGCAGTATGCCTGAAACGCTGTTTTGCAGTTGTCCATGTCATCGTCATCATTTGTCGCGAACTTTTCCCTGGTCTTGATTGTATTTCTTCTGAAAGCTACAACAAAGAACGTAGCAGTTCTGAATCGTAGCTCATGCAGCAATAGAAGCTTGACCAGGATTTTGTGTTTAGTATTGGCAAGCCAGTACGCTTTTTAGGCGTCATTCGTGTAAGTGCTTGCTCACGACAACTGCCTTTCGAATGTAAAGCGTTCAGGTGATACAGGAGTGTTACTTGCAGCCCACAGGAAAAATAGTGAGGAGCAGTTCTAAGTCGTGCATCTTTAGGTTGAGCTCACCGGAGCGTGCTAGACTTCAAGAACTTCAGGATAGCATGATGGTTGGTGAATCAGCCAGCCAGACTAACACAACGGCACCAGCACCCTTGGGTTCGTCATCTCCTCTGAAGGAGAGTCTTGTACTATATGTACCCGAAGTCGAGGAGATACGTATTAGTCCTGTTATCGCCAGAAAGGGATATCTGAATGTTTTGGAGCACAAGACTAACGGTTGGAAGAAACGATGGGTGGTATGTGTGGAAACGGCGTTAATGAAGATCCTAAGAAATCTATTTTTTTTATGTCCAGTCCTACGTGTAAATATATCTATTATCTTTGTTAACAGGCGGTTCGCAGACCCTACGTATTTATCTTCAGGGAAGAAAAGGATCCAGTAGAAAGGGCTCTGATTAATTTAGCTACCGCTCAAGTCGAGTATTCGGAAGATCAGTTGGCGATGGTTAAAGTACCAAATACTTTCAGGTATCTTTGGACCCTCTCAAACATTTATATGCCTTCTGAACAATGCGTAAACAGATTTTATATACTTTCAGTGTGGTAACCAAACATCGAGGATACCTACTACAGACCTTAGGTGACAAAGAAGTTTACGACTGGCTCTACGCCATCAATCCGCTGCTGGCAGGCCAAATCAGGTAAATGAATATTTAGAAGAATCAATTCACCAACAGAAGAAATAAACAACAAAGAACTCTAATATTAAGAAAATAATTTTAGATCGAAGCTAGCTCGCAAAGGACCTGGCCCCAACATGGCCCCCATCACCTTAGGTCCACCACCCGAAATTCAAACACAAGCCAAGTGAGTCGCCGATTCTTTGGCCGAGGTGATGGATATCGTCGCAAAGACATCCAAGCGCATACTTTATCAGTCTCACTCTGCCTTCGAGTCGCAGGACTTCTCTAGCTTTCATTTTCCAGTAATCTTTGAATGAATCGGAAGAGATATTCGATCCGTATAACGTCATACAATTTACGAGAATAATACGGTCATTACAATCTCCGTTACGAACGCGTACATTGTATCCATAGACATTATAGATAAAATACGAACGTGCAAAGCTTTGCCAGTTCAACCTGGCATAGCCGAAAAATCTATGTTTCTTACTAAGTATCTCACAAGTCGAGATTGACTTAAGGACTGTTGAAAGTGGCGAGGGCGTCTCCGTGCGCGTTTTCATAAAAACGTCATGTTCACAGTTGAGACGTCTATGGCTTTAAACTAGCCATCGCACATGCTTCGTTTATATAAAAATGGAGATCGCGGTACAGAACGGTGCTTAATGTTCTAGACGAAACACGTGTGGACCAGATACATATGTACAATCGTATGTATGCCTGTTGCAATGTAGCATACATATACATACGGTATTAGGTGAATTCTAAGACGGATAATACAAGCGACGAGAGGTAAAATGAAAGAGGGGAAAAAAGTGACGGATCTATATGCCTAATGTACACACGCTGAAAATCAGAGACACGGACACATTCCTATGATGCCAGGTTAGAGTGGAAGGAAGTGTATCCCTTTTATGAGAATTATCCTTTATGACTTATGACAAGCGTATATCGTTATACGCTTAAGAGCTTCACTTTTTCCTTTTTTCATTTCTTCGTAGCTTTTCTTTATCCGTCGACGTACATCCTCGGAAGTCGGCACAAAATTTGCAAACTGGGTCAATGACACGTCTTGACAGCAGAGTCTCTTTTACACAGTTAATACGTGCATATCGTTACGAGAAGACGTGTTCTGGTGCAATAACATGAAAGAGACAGTACTTAAACTGGAAGCTAATGGATACGAAATGAAAAAGAATCATAGACAAAATAGTAGAAACATGCACGACTCGTGATAATTTTTGTGTACAGCTTGTCCATGAGTTCTTGATACCAACGATAAACGAGCACTATACCTATTCGTTCGGAAAGGGCTAGATGTTTTACGAAATAAACAGAAAAAAAATTACTCTCAAACTCATCTATACGTATTCTACGATATTAATTAATAAATTATCGATATGCATAGACGTAACGACGTGACTATAACGAGATAAAAAGAAAAAGATGAAAATCAAGCTACATAGCGTGTATCAAAGTTTTCAATATATATTATTCATAATTGTTTACCTTTTAACGTAAGAAAGATTTGAATCACAAAATTCAGCGAACACGATATATGGGTTTTAAGGCTTACCAACCTGTGCGAAGTGAATTCGCGTGCTTGAAGCGAACTACGTTGGTTAAAAAAAAGAGATGGAACCCACTTTGAGACTTTTGTGCACGAACGAAGGAAAGAGCGTTTCCGTTTCTCATATGACTGGCTAAATATCTCGGTCTATTACTAATCATGGACAAGAATCAATGGCCGAAATCTGAAATGTATTTATTGTGAATTCGGCAGCGGGCGACAGTTGACCCTGCCAAATTCATGATAAAAATGCATGCTCCTTATTTCGGAACGACCTTTTTCTGATTTCCTTAATTGTTCATTAATTTATATTTCATTTGGTTGAACCGTCCCTCCTCTTCACTTCTAGCCAATTGTATTCGATCTCTATATATGTATGTATGTCGAGGAGCGGAAGGCGAATTAGCAATTATTCAATAACTACCGAAACATCTCGTTCTAATGAATTATAATTGCATTTAAATGTCAGGCACCTAATTATTAATCTGTTAATTAAAAAAGAAAACGAAAGATGATAGTGTGTATATATGATGTGTGCGTAAGAGATGAATGCGCGAGTGTGATCCTACGCAGCTGCAAATCATTGTCCTGATTATATATATATTTCTGTGAAAAGGATAAATACACTCGGTTACTCTCGGTAGATATTTTTATATTTAGAATAATAATTTGCAGCCAACTTGCGACGCGTTGAGGCTTTAATGGCGCGGGGTGCTAGATTTAAAGTATCGTCAAGCGCTAAACCGTAATATCGGCTGGCCGAATTACGCTGATTTAATCGGCATACGTGAGCAACAAAAAAAAAAACAGACACGTAATAGCTCAAGAAATCACACGATTAATCTGTCGAGCTAAAAACTCGAATTACGGATCAGCGATTGTGGACTGTTTAATGACGCACCCACGTGTGCAAATTCCGTATGATCGTAGTGCACCGTAATGGCGGCGGTACGTCACCGACCCCTCATACTTTCGGGACGGCTGAGAACAGAACGTTAAAAGAGATATGGCAACATTGTCTACGCATGACGTCATGCCGGTGCACACGATATTCTCGTAGTATATTCCGTCGTCAACGGCTGCCGCTGCTGAATACCGTAAACTTTTTTAATTAATCTATTTGTCCCCCCCTCCCGCTTTCCCCCCACGTTAACCTAATTTCCCCATATCCCTCCGATCATTTCATTAGAAGACATTTTACTGTGCGTTTACGCTATTTGTTGTTAGGTTGTAAATTATAAGTTTACGTTACCAATTTTTCAAGTGCAATTTTTGCGAATTTACTTGTTTGGCGAGTACAGTGGGCCGCTGGAAATAGACAAAGAAAAGACATAGCGAACGTTCGCACGTGTTTAACGATTGATGAAATATCCAACAATGCAACGATCGTTTTTCTAGTCAATGTATCGTATTTGCATAATTACCGCGCAACAATTTTATGTTAACAATTTTATTGTTCCATGACGGTTCATTGCGCGGTAGCCTCGCACCACCACGTGGACAAATTCGGTTGACGACGATGGTCGTTTCTGAATGCTGTGTTAACGATTTTTGCTTGCTGACTGTTGTAGCGATTAATAGTTTTATTTTGTTAACGATATAACGTAACGATTATAATCTGTAAACTGTATCGATATATAAGATCTTTATGATAATAAGAATTACCGCGAGATCGAGAAGACGATCGCGCGACATGAAGAGATTTATTGAGAAAATTGTATGAAGGACACGCGTGTATAATCGTTGATCGTCGGGTAGGATAAGAACGAAAAAAAAATATGGAGAAGAGGTGAAAATGCGTGTGTGTACGTGCGTGTGTATGTGTGTATGAATTGTTTGAAAGAGAGAGAAAGAGCGGGAAAACGTATGAAACATAGAGAGAAAGTGAGTAACGAGACGGAAGAGAATACAATTACGTATATAAATATAGTATATATATAAATAAATTTAATAATACTATAAATACAAAAAAAAACGGCGGAATTACCAAAATGCCCATCTGTACTAAGTCTGTAAGTTCGTGTAATTATTTATAAGTTATCAGTAACATCATTGCCAGTTTAGGTTCCATCATTTACTATGAGGTATGCATTGATGCTCTAATGTGTATTTATTATTATGATTAATGACTTACACTAGAGCTATTGTAAGTGGAATCATGTAATAAATGAATCAATAAAAGCTTATATGCTTAAAACACTTTGGAAAATTATTAACGATTATCAGCAAGACTGTCATAGTTTATGTTTGATGCTTTATACTATGCTTGCCATTTAATGCTTTTAACACAAGTGTTATCGTTATTAATGCATAACGCTTACATAAAAAATAGTAAGCACTGCAAAAGAAGAATAAAATCACAGTCATCATTCAACATTATCACTATAAATTCTGTTATGTAATTTGTCATTGACACTATGAATATGCTCAGTCACTTTGCTCTTACCATTAGTATTTTGATTTACACAACGAATACGTCATTTTGCACCGTCATCCAAGCAACAGTAATTGACGTGTAGAGTGTTCAAATGATCAACGATGCCACCACAATGAAATAATCACGATAAATATATGAACGATTTGCAGAGTATGTCTTGAAAAAGATGTAACTTATTTTTCACTTTTTAATCCTTAATTTTCTTAGACATATAAAAAGATTTTACATTTCTTCGATACTCTACATTTTTATAATTCACGAGTGACCCATTAACCTATTGAATAAACTTTAATAAAAAACAGTCTTCAACCATTAGTTCTTAACCTCCTTCTTCCTCAAAATTTCCATTTCCGCTATGGAAGTCCAAATGTCATCCGCAAGCAGTTGGGGTTGTTCCATAGCAGCAAAATGACCACCACGCGGCATTTTAGTCGCCCGAATTAAATTCTTATATCGGTGCTTGATGAGAGACGGTGGTTGATACGATATTTCATGCGGAAATTGAGCGCAAGCGCTAGGTACCGTTATTGGAATGCTATAAAATAAACGTATTAATTAGAAAGATTGAAATTTTCATTAACCATTTAATCTGGAATTTAATCGATAGTCGTACTGATAAAAATTATCTCGCGACAAACAATTTTTAAACCAAAAGTCCACAACTTGTATTCATCTCCAAAACATACAAAACAGCTATGGGCTGCTGATAGCTAATCGACTAGGAAACATGATAGCCGGTTAAGTGGTTAACTTAAGTTCGCTTTATCTTTAATAAATACTTACGTATTTAATTCGTCTTTTAAGTAATTCTTGTTAATCGTCTCCGCATAAATTCTCATAGAAGTTGTAATACTATTAGAGGTCCAGTAAACCATCAAATTATCTAAAAGCTGGTCAAACGTGAAGCTCTTCAGTAAATTACCGTCATCGTGAAACCTGTTATTCGGATTCGTCCCTGTGGAAAACTTTTCCAGTATGTACGCAGCTAATCCAGCTGGCGAATCACTAAGGCCAACTCCTAAAGAAAATTATATCTTTTAATATAATATATACTCAATTGATGAAATACATGTAATTAAATCAATAATATATCAAGCAAACTATTTACACGATACAAAATCATTAATTTTCCTACATCCCCTTAACTCTTCGATGATGACGGGTTGCTGAAGGAGTCAATTTTGGAAGATCTAGTGTAAAAATGTTTGGAAACGTGGAATCCAAATCTGACCTTAGAATTTTGAAATTCAAAATGTCGTTTCAAATATTAGAGTGGAGTATACACATATGTGCCCCGTCTGCAGAGTTAATAAAAATGATACCTACCGACCGTATCAGGCTTCGTGCTCTGAATATGGAAGTAGCCAGTCTCTTCCAAATTTCGCAAGAAGCGTGTACTAAGTGGGTACATACGATGATAGTCCTCAGCAGAAAGTAATAACGATGGAAAGTAACTATATAAAATCATTTTTAACATGTTCCAAGGGCTCAAGACTATGCACATGTTTGAGTGCAGCCCAAGTACACTGAAAAGAAAATCAGAATAAATATTATAGCTTAATGCATCCATTAAAAAAAAAAAACACTTTATATTCTACACTAACAGTGGCAGTAATACATAATTTAAATTTTCCTCGCGGTATTCTGTTTTCTCGAGAAATGTTAATGAATCATGACATCGGCGTGCGCCGACAAAAACATAATTTATCTGGATGGCTTTTACGAGGCTTGGAAAACAAAACTACTTGAACGTTAAACAAGTTTCTGCGCATGGAACCTGCTGTAGTTTTTACATCACGTGCGTGAAGCTGCATCCAAATCGTGGCATTGGAAACTGTTTGGTTGGACGTTATACGTGTACAGCGAATATCTCAGACTTAGACATAATACGTTAAATATTTATAAGGAGCATTGCACGATTTTAGAATACAAAGAATTTCTTCTCCACTTTTTTTTTACATTAAGGTTGTCTGCACGTGCTAAAGTAAAACTTTGTAACATCTTTTCCTCGCTATCTTATCTGTAGGCTGCGAAATGGACTTTACATTTATTAATACTTGTAAATGCTATTTTACCAAATCATTGAGATACTGCTGATCAAAATACAAAACTGCAATGACTTACTTTACCTGTTATAGTTACGTAACTATAATATTTCGCCCACGACAACTCATCATTATGAGAAGTTTATATTGAAGGAATTAAAAAATAATCCATGTCGCGAGTATACTTATCAAAAGTATAACAGAATGTGGGAAAGATAAAGATAACTTCGCTCGCCTCCGTTTTTTTCTTCAAAATTATTATCAAAAATGCAGATAGCTACACTCGGGTACGAAATCAAACTTAAATATGAATAAATGAACCAGTGGAATTTACTCCATGAAACAAGATATTATTCTTCGTAGGTAAATAGCGCGCGTTAAGATTTAGAAAACAGTTTGCAGTTTATGTTACATCACTGATAATTAGACAGTAATATGGAACCAAACAATTATTAGTATATTAACGTTACAGATATTAATAGCTACTGTCTATCACAAGGACAATAATAATAACAGTTGAGAAAATATTACAAGGATACACAGTCTTATACAGTCCGTTCGCGATATCAATTTCACTTTGACGGAACTTATTTACGTTACTAATATCGCGAACCAACTATACTGTTGATTACTTACTGTTCAGGAAATAGAGAAGCCATATTTGCAAGTATAACGGCACCCCAGTCGCCACCTTGGGTATAAAATTGTTCAAATCCCAATCTCAGCATAAGATTCTTCAAAACTACAGCCATCTGGGGACTACCTAAGCCTGGTCTAACTGCCGAGCTAGAAAATCCAAAACCAGGTAATGATGGAGCAATTACTTCGAAGACAAAATCTTGCTCCTCCCGGGGAGTCGTTAGGAGTGGTAGAATTTTATAAAATTCAACAACCGAACCCGGCCATCCATGCTGTATAAGAAGGGGGAGTACACGTTTCCCTTTATGATTTTTTGGTTTTACGTGTAAGAAGTGAATATTCAATCCTAGAAAAAAGTTATTTATTAATTAGAGATAAAAAAATCCATTGACCATGTGGCCGCAGTTACGCTGCATGCAGTGTATCGAATTCTGATGTTACCTTGGATATTTGTTGTAAACTGTGGATATTGATTAAGAAATTGTTCTCTTTTCTTGAAGTCATACTTATTCAGCCAATAGTCAATAACTATAGGAAGATATGCACCATCAACACCATAAGTCCATTGAGAATCTTCAAGAGCGGGCTGTAAGGTTCTAGTCTTATTCAATCGAACTTTTAAATCATCCACAAGCTGTAACCAAAAACCATTATTTTTCAACCAATCGCACCATTTCAAAACGTACTATCGTAAAGAGAACATAAATAATCTTTCGAATAAAATACTTGTCTAATAATACAAAACTACAAATTTTAATGCAATGTTACGCCGGTACAACACTGGCCATTTTATTAAATTATTACTAATATTCAACTCATTGTGTGCACACTTCATTTTGGGTAAGGCGCTCGTAATGCATATTTTTGGGAAAAAAATATTGCACGTTAAACTTCTATCTTTGTAGAATACATCGCAATAATTTTTAAAAAACTTTTTGTGAAGAATGGAAACTTCAAAAATATGACGGGGCTTCGAGATATTCACGATTAAATAGAAGGAACCGCGTAAAATGAACCACAGTGTATGCAAAAGATAAGATAGATAAAGTATTATCTATATTGATAAAAGAAACTTGAATTTTTCCAATGCATGTATACCTGATGTAAAACTTACTTCTTTCGTAAAGGTAATTTTGAAAGGTTTAATATTTTTATCCTCTTCCTTAGCTGGACCCCGACCCCACCATGTGTTTGGCAACTTAGGAATTTCTCGTTCTGGTCGATTAATAAAATACGAAGCAGCTAATATCACGGCCATGCCAATAATTGCAGATTTTACAATTCCCATTTTCACTGATTATATAACCAATACTTCGTTTTTATTATAGTATATTGGCTACCAAGTCTCTTAACACCTAATAATTCTCTTACTACATATGAAAATATATCGAATAGTGATCCGTCTTCGTCAAGCCGTCGGAACATACTAACTACAGGACCTATACACATCATATAACAGGGGATATAGGTACATATATCTAACAGTGCAGAGATACAGGTTCTATTTATCAGCAAACATCCATACAGTATCTTGACTGGTCATACAAAATAATCAGATAGACTTTGTTCACAAATGATATAATATATGTTAATATTTTACGTTAAAAATTAAATATAAATATTGTACTGCTTTTTATAAATATATACAAAAAAGAGACGTATAAAGAAAATTATGTCATTTAATCTTTTTGAAAGATATGCAAATATAGAGAAACAAACAGATTTAATTGATCAAATGTCACAAGTGTTGCAAGATTTTACGAATTTTCTGGTACAAACGATAAGTCTGACAAAACTGTGAACACACCTTGAATCCAAATGTACCGTTAACACTGTAAATGTTAACTCACGGTATACATATTAGTATACGATTGCATACCTACAGGCGCATGATTCTGCGTATTATACTCTTTATAATTGCCGATATGTCAATCATTACACGCTGTAGTGTTCTATGTTAAAAATAATATCGAAGCATGTGACATCGCCATAACATATAATAAAAAAGTTTCTACAGTTCTATTTGTGTTATTTCATGGTAAGTTGTAGAATTAGTATATGAAGAGGTTTGCGCATGCGTGCTAAATATATCACTGCCTTACCATATCCACGCTGCTTACGATTTACGAGGAATGGAACGAGGAAACAAGCCTAGAAGGCAGTGAACAAACCTACACGCGAAGTTGGTAGAGCTTCTGATATAGCAAAGTGTCAAGTAGCAAGAATTAGCCAATATTTAGGGCGTGAATGACACATTTTAACTGATTATCGAGTTGTTTTTGGCATGTAACAATCTGACAGTACTGATTCAACTTTTATATCGCACCAGTGTTTGGTAGACATTATTGTTGAATTTATGGAAATATGGTTATATTTAGCGTATGACGGCTACTCTTTTAGGGACGTGAGGAACTGCCCGTAACTTATTTATAGAACTTTATACTGTTTTATCAACGAATCCTAAGAAGATGGAGGATATATTTCAATGGTGTCGTGAAGGAAATGCCATGCAAGTGCGTGTCTGGCTGGATGACACCGAACATGACATGAATCAAGGGTATTACAGAAACTTTCCTTTTATGGCTAGAATCTCTGATCACCGGAATATTGTGGTTTCGAAGTTCCGTAATTTTTGCTGGACCTTCACTCTTTTTTCTTTCATGATATCATGAATTATTATTGTAACGTTTTACATATTTTTTGCATGGCATTGACTTAAAACTGATTTCTCTAATTATTTAATGAGGAAATTTAAAACCTTCAGTATAAGATTTATAGAGTAGAATATTAATGTGTTAATATTCTAGTACTATGATTTGTAATATAAACTTTGCAATCTTGCACCACTGCATCTGCACAATGTTATGTGTTTGCAATAATTTCTCATTTCATTTTATTTTTTATATTTAGGGATGATCATGGATTTAGTCCTCTTCATTGGTGCTCTAAAGAAGGCCATACAAAGCTTGCAGAGTTACTTGTTAGTCGAGGAGCACGTATCAATGCTACTAATAGAGGAGATGATACTCCACTTCATCTAGCTGCAGCTCATGGACATAAGGAAATAGTGCAATTGGTATGAGTTCTATGTAATTTTTTATGAGATTATTTATAATAATTAACTCTTAACAGTCACCTAGGTTCTCAGTAACTCCAACATAACGTGTGATCCTTATGGAAACTCTACTGAAGTGTAACCATTAAGGATTAATCTCTCCTTGAGTTATTATATACCAAAACTAAAAGAAAATTGATTTGTTTAATAGTTGTTGAGAAATCGGGCAGATGTGAATGTTACGAATGAACATGGAAACACTGCTCTACACTATGCTTGCTTTTGGGGTGATCAGGCAGTTTCTGAAGAACTAGTAGCTGCAGGAGCACTAGTTTCTATAGCTAATAAAGATGGGGACACTCCACTAGATAAAGCTAGAGGTTCTCTGGCTAAAAGACTGCATGGTAAATACAGGTTGTTTTGTACAACAATAAGTAATGGTACATAATACTATAATCTATCTAATTACATATTTTGATAGATCTTGCAGTGGAGTATGGACAAGACTTGAAAAAAATACAATTCAAGGATCAAAGCTGGTTGGGCTTGAAAACCAGAAGTCGTAAGTAATCTATTAATTAAATCAGCAACACAATTAGATTATAGGAGCATAATAAAATAGTTATACTGTCCTTATGTAGGCGATGCTACCTTGTCAAGACATAAAGGTATTAATATGGCCGAGCTATCGTTGCATACTCATTTGGCCAGTACACCAAGTGGAGAAACTTGGAGAGGTCGTTGGCAGAATAATGATATCGTTGCAAAAATATTGAATCTGCGCGAATGTACTTCTCGAATATCTCGAGATTTCAACGAGGAGTTCCCAAAACTCCGAATTTTTTCTCATCCCAACGTCTTACCTGTTCTTGGTTGCGTGAATCAACCACCACAGCTCGCAACCGTTTCACAATACATGGCGAGGGGTAGTTTACATAGACTTCTGCATGGGGGAACGGGAGTCGTAGTGGATACCGCTCGTGCTCTTCGTTTAGCCTTGGATGTTGCACGGGCAATGGCTTTTTTGCATGGTCTTGAGAGGCAGAATAGATGTAGATTCCATCTAAACAGCAAACATGTCATGGTAAATAGAATGAAGATATACAAATTATAACAATATAAATCATGTGATCTCATAGCTATTAACAATTTTATATAGATCGACGAAGATCTGACCGCTCGTGTTAACATGGCGGATTCGAAATTCTCCTTTCAAGAAGTTGGTCGCATTTACGAGCCAGCCTGGATGTCACCCGAAGCACTAAGTAAAAGACCAGCAGATATAAATCTCGAAGCTAGTGACATGTGGAGCTTCGCTGTCCTCCTATGGGAATTGGCAACCAGGGAAGTTCCCTTTGCTGATCTTTCACCAATGGAGTGTGGAATGAAGGTAACTTAACGGCAGATTACCATGAAGTTCGTTATAAAATTTTGACTTGAATATATACATTTTTTTTAAGATTGCCCTGGAGGATCTGCGTGTTAGTATTCCACCTGGAATTTCTTCACATTTAGCAAAATTGATAAGGATCTGCATGAATGAAGATCCAGGAAAACGTCCATCATTTGACATGGTTGTACCAATTTTAGATAAAATGAAACGCTAAAATACGAACGTGAAATATCCGATTATACAACAGCTGACAAATTTGTGTTCCCTAGAGTTATTGTTAAAGTAACGCGATAACGAATACATAAAATAGTATATGTTTATTACGTCATTATCTCATCTAATCATTGTTCACTAATTAACACGGTGCCTCCAATAACATAAATAATTATCGTATTTTTATATTACATTTCTAGACAGATGAACTATGTGCCTCGAAAATAGATCTTCCAAAATGTTACACTTTGTATACAATATTTAATTGTTCAATTTTTATATATAACTTATTATAATTATACCATGTATGATCCGTAATACAAACAGCATACGCATTTTTAGAACAATAATATTCTTGCTACCTAATGCGATCAGTCGCACTACATTGTGGCTTAATTACTGTATCTTACACTGTAAATTGATAAGATCAATGTCTGCATTATTATGTCTCTACCATAGTTATTCATACTTGCCATATTTTAAATACAAAATACTCTTGATGGGTGTTAATTTAGAAATTTACCCTTAATTTATTAAAATCTATGATTGTTAACACGTCTGCTATTCTTATATAACTTATTAGGGCTGACAAAAATAAATATTATTGACCAAATAGTAACGTGCCTTAAATAAAAATTATCAAGAATAATCTAATGTAATTATTATGTATACAAATGTATCCTCACTACGTGTGGAATAAAGTATGTAATCAAGATTTTACGATTTAAGAATAATTTAATTTCATCATTAACCTGATGAGAGCGAATGAAAACATTGAAAGGACATAATTTCTCGTCTTTCCGACATTATACCGAAATACACCGACTATATTATTGTATTCTTCTTAACCAGAAACATCTGCACTCAGATATTATTATTTGTTTATCTACACTTATTTTTAACTTGTACAGGTTCCGGACAGTCTTCTAATTTTTCGAAAAATTTGTTATTTTTTATTACATCGCAAATTTCTAGGATGGGTCACGACCAACGTGATGTTGATCACAATTAAATCTTAATGGAGTCTATTTTTAGATAATTATTTGTAATAAATCATCCACTAAAGCTTATTAAACTTTAGTCATGGATATGTAGATAATAATTTCTCTATTTTATTTAATGAAATGTTATAAATGCCAGAAAATCAATAAATTCGAATGTTATACTATAATAGTTATTTTTATAAACATCTCTATGTATATTGAAGTACTCCAAATTTACACACCTACGTAAGAAGATTCTAGATGAATGCGCCAGTCAATGAGTCTCGAATCTCACAAAATATCGGAGTATGTACATGCATACATATATACATTGTATATATAACCATGTCCAATGTAAATTTAAACTTTTGACAGGCATACACTTTTTTATTTGCGTGTACCATACCATGAAAAATGTACCCAAGAGATGATTAAGTCTTGAAAAATTGTAACGTTTTTCAAAGGTAGCTGTCACGAAGTCAAGAAGCATGGAATATTCTACAAAATCGACGGAATAATTCCTCTAGTCACCTATAAACTTGATTCTCTCTCTATATATGTATATCCATAAAAGTAAGTCTCAACGACACTGTTCCTTTGCGTTTACAATTTTGTACGACTTGAGGTAGTTTTTTCATTTTAGCAGTCGTTTTCCCAGATTGTTATGAAATTTTTTTCAAGTAACATTTATGGATTGAAATGTATGCAGATTTGTAGATATGTTGCAGTAAAATGTAAAACTCCTTTCTATTTTCACGGATAACAAAACTACATACATATATTCAACAGTCTGTTATAGTACTGTATTTTGGAGCATTTTCGGGGATTTGAAGAATTTGGCAACTAGAATGATAACAAATATATACCAATATAAATATACGTTGTGCAAACTACAATAAATTTAACATCATATAAAATCGTTATAAGTATATACGTATATAAACGTATTCATCAATTTCTCATCAACAGATAATAAGATTAATAGAACGTTTTAAAAAGTGACTATTTTAAAAAAAATACTTTGTTCAAACCTTGAATACAGAAATTTTTAATACAATACAACGATGATATATATTTAACCATTCTAGAAACCTTCCTTCGTAGATACTGCGATTCTCTTAGATACTCAGTGCGCGTGCGCTCTGTCTCCCTCCATTCACTAAATTAATCAAACACGCAATTCTTTTTTGGCTAGTAAAACACTATTCTTTCCTACTCAATCATATAATACATTCATCATATTTTAATTAATTATATAAAAGCTATATAAATATTTATAACAGAATATTAAATATCTTGAACTCTAAGTTAGATGGTGAAATAGTGTTCAATTTGACAGAATGTTCTCGGTGGAGGATAGACATCCGGCAAAAGCATTCTAGAATCTTCAACGCTCAATAAAAGTGTACGGTGGGCGGCAGGATTCAATATTCTGAAAAGTGACTGCAAGAACGGTTGATCGCAAGACAAGCGAAGTGATATTTTTTGTAGTTCTACCGTGTGCGAATATACGAGAATAAAGTTATCGAAGTATTAATTGTGCAATTGTACTAAGAAATAACAGTTTTACCGTATTATTTGCGCAACTTTTTGATTGTGACAAATTTTGTAAAAAAAAGGATCCAAAATGACAGAAGACGTGACCATGGTTGAGAATGGAGGAGAGGTCGAAACCTTCGCCTTTCAAGCCGAAATTGCTCAGTTGATGAGCCTTATTATTAATACTTTCTATTCCAACAAAGAAATCTTCATCCGAGAACTGATTTCCAATTCATCAGATGTAAGTAGTTCTTTACATGGCTTATGAATTTATACGACGAACATAAGTTCACATGTGATAGACATAGTGGTTTATCTCTTTGAATATCTGTAAGACCTTTGTTTTGTATAATATTATAATGTATAATACTAACTTATTAAAGAGATATTTCAACTTAACTCTTTGAGAATTATTCTAATATTATTAATATGTACTTTTTATTGGCTTTTAGGCATTGGACAAAATTCGTTATGAATCTCTCACAGATCCATCCAAGCTGGATACATGTAAAGAGTTGTTCATCAAGATCATCCCAAATAAAAATGACCGTACACTGACTATTATCGATTCGTAAGTATTAATATTTGAGGTCATTTAAAATGATTGTATTTATATGTAACAAATGGAATTTAAGTAAATCTTTAAACTTTCAGAGGTATTGGTATGACAAAGGCTGATCTGGTGAATAATTTGGGAACCATTGCAAAATCTGGTACAAAGGCTTTCATGGAAGCATTACAAGCTGGTGCAGACATCTCCATGATTGGGCAATTTGGTGTTGGTTTCTACTCTGCATATTTGGTAGCTGATAAAGTGACTGTTATTTCTAAGCACAATGATGATGAACAATACGTATGGGAGTCAGCAGCAGGTGGTTCATTCACTGTAAGACTTGATAATGGAGAACCGCTTGGACGAGGAACCAAAATCATTCTGCACATCAAGGAGGATCAGACAGAGTATCTGGAAGAATCAAAAATTAAAGAAATTGTAAAGAAGCATTCACAGTTCATTGGCTATCCAATTAAATTGCTAGTCCAGAAAGAGAGAGAAAAGGAACTAAGCGAGGATGAGGAAGAAGAACCAACCAAGGATTTAGAAACTGAAGATGAGAAGCCTAAAATTGAAGATGTTGGTGAGGATGAAGACGAGGATAAGAAAGATGAAAAGAAGAAAAAGAAAAAGACTATTAAGGAAAAATACACAGAAGAAGAAGAACTGAACAAAACAAAACCCATCTGGACTAGGAATCCTGATGAAATTACTCAAGAGGAATATGGTGAATTCTATAAGAGCTTGACAAATGATTGGGAAGACCACCTAGCTGTGAAACACTTCTCAGTGGAGGGTCAATTGGAATTCCGTGCTTTACTGTTCATTCCCCGTAGAGCACCTTTTGACCTCTTTGAAAATAAGAAACGTAAGAACAACATCAAGCTCTATGTAAGACGAGTCTTTATCATGGACAACTGTGAAGATCTTATACCTGAATATCTCAACTTTATCAAGGGTGTGGTAGACAGTGAAGATCTTCCACTGAACATATCTCGTGAAATGCTCCAACAGAACAAAATTCTCAAAGTTATCCGTAAAAACCTTGTAAAAAAATGTTTGGAACTCTTTGAAGAATTAGCTGAAGATAAAGAGACTTATAAGAAGTGCTACGAGCAGTTCAGCAAGAATATAAAATTGGGCATTCATGAGGACAGTCAGAATAGGAAGAAGTTAGCAGATTTATTGCGCTACCACACTTCTGCATCAGGAGATGAGGCTTGCTCTCTCAAGGAATATGTAGGACGTATGAAGGAGAATCAGAAACACATCTACTACATCACTGGTGAGAGTAAGGATCAAGTAGCCAATAGCTCCTTTGTAGAGCGTGTCAAGAAACGCGGTTTCGAAGTCATTTATATGACTGAACCCATCGACGAGTATGTTGTTCAGCAGCTGAAGGAGTACGACGGCAAACAATTGGTATCAGTCACCAAGGAGGGTCTGGAGTTACCAGAGGATGAGGAAGAAAAGAAGAAGCGTGAGGCGGACAAAGTCAAATATGAAAACCTTTGCAAGGTCATGAAAGACATCCTTGACAAGAAAGTTGAGAAAGTTGTTGTGTCCAACAGGCTAGTTGATTCTCCATGCTGCATTGTAACATCCCAGTATGGATGGACAGCAAATATGGAGAGGATTATGAAAGCCCAGGCACTCCGTGACACCTCAACTATGGGATATATGGCAGCCAAGAAACATTTAGAAATCAATCCGGATCATCCGATTATTGAAACACTGAGACAGAAAGTTGAGGCTGACAAACACGATAAGTCTGTTAAGGATCTGGTAATGTTGCTCTTTGAGACTGCTCTCTTGTCTTCAGGATTTGCCTTGGAAGATCCTCAAGTCCATGCATCAAGAATTTACAGAATGATCAAATTGGGTCTCGGTTTTGATGATGACGATACGCCAGCTGTAGAGATTGAAGAAATGAGCACTGAGGCTCCACCATTAGAAGGCGAGTCAGAGGATGCATCTAGGATGGAAGAAGTAGATTAAAAATTTGATCGTTTCTTTTCTGACATCTTCTGAAAAATCCAAAGACACGTTATGTTGTGTAAGTCGTAGGGAGAAGACTGTTTATCGTTACTTTTCAAAGTATTTAAGTATATTTTATGAATAAGTCCAATAGATTCACGTATTATTGCAAAAAAGGTAATAAAATTATATTTATTTTCATAAGCGAGCATCATTACATCTTCAGCCTTTGTAAAAACATTTTTATATCATCCTTTTTTTTTAGTCGAATTTGAGTTAATAGGTCGTTACTAATTATTAATCATTCCAGAAATTACTGTTAAAATAAGGTTACAAAAAATTGCGTTTATCTTGTGTTGTGCGCAATAAATACTCCAATATTATATATCTGTTGTTATATCTTTGCTATCCTAAGATTTTACCAACGATTATCGAAATTATAATTAATCAAGTTCCACAAAAACATAAGCAATGGCCATTAAAAAACCACTTTCTAACGATAGTTACAGGTTTAATTCTAAATACGCATATTGTAATTGTAAATTAAACCTATGAACATATCATTTCCTGAATGCAGGTAAAAAAGTTCATTTTTATATTCAAATGTTTCTAATTTTTACTGGAGGTCCATTGTCACAAACTTGGGATACCCTAAAGAACAAAATGAATTTAATTTTAAACTCAATTATCACATTTTTTCCTTCTTCAAAGTAAGTTACCTTCGTAATTTGTTAATACAACGTGTATCATGTAGATGGCGGGATTGGTATGCTTTTCAAGAAATAAAACAGGAAATGGCATTAAAAAGGAAAAAAATTTGTTACCTGGTCAGCCACAGAAATTAACCTCATTCAGGAAACATGGTTCAACTAGCAGAACGTATTTTAAAGTATATGACAAAAATTTGAAATTGTGAAAATATCTTCAACCATTCAAAAGTTATAGTCATAAAAGTAATTTATAAAAATGAAAGTCCTATTTCTTAAAAAAAATTTATGTATCTATGCGCCTATTTTTTGCCATTTTAACTGGCTGTAATTCTTAAAACATTGAATATACAAGTTTTTCCTTTGAAAGATGAATAATGTCGATGAAGGTAGAATGATTTATACGAAATGTCAAAATTTACAATATTTATACTTATTTATATAATAATATATAATATTTATACAATATTATACTTATTTTAATTATGGTAGACTTACGTAAGGTAGTATCACACTAAACATATTAGATGCACTAGATTAACTTCGAGCATTATCAAATACTAATACATTTTTCCCAATAACAATTACTAGAAACGAAAGCATATTAATGAGAATCAAACTAATTTCTTAGTAGTCTACCCTGTATTAAAAATGAAAAGTGCAACGCAATAGCCGGAAAATTCTCACTGTACTAATACAAATCAAAACGAGATATTTCAGGTAGGAGAAGAATCCTGACGATCACAATAATGAGGATAGAGGTTTTAATCAAACTCGCATCAGCAAAATTTAACCGGTAACCAAGATATCTATTACGCGATGTCCTTATATTCTCATACGCCGCCGCTAGATGTCACTCATGATATTTCTACTAGTCCCTAACAAAATACCAAAGACCTATAGCCAACATGGAGATTTCCGTGACTGCTAACATTATGGGCATTACGTGTAACTTTTACAAAGTTATAATACATCTGTACTTATTCATAAGTGACTGTCGTAAACGCAAAATGTACGTATATCCATCTAGGCGTACATTAATACAGATAAACACCTGATAATTATTCGGTTAATAAAGTTTCGTGAAAAATGTCAAGGTATCGTATAGTATTAAGTATGTATGTATATAACCATGACCACAAATACATATACATGTAGAATTGCGAGAAGTCTTTTTTTAACCATGCTTCTAGAATGTCGCGGGTATCACTCACCTGATTTATGATAAGAACAATGGACGTAAAAAATAATTGAAGAGGCAGGGAACGCCGCGGAAATAAATTTCTTCTTTCTGAAATATCGGTACACACTATATTACGTCACGTGATATATTACTGAGTGATAGGACGTTAACTTCGAGACAGTTTAAAGTGATTCAAAATTGTGCTTTTAGAAACGAAGTTGTGGTTATCTTCAAAACATAAAATTGTGCCATCTGTCGATAGAATGTCTCTCTGTAATATATACCAGAAAGAATTTTCTGGATGAAACTCGAAATCGAATCCCACGTAACTCGAAGGTTACGATTCGTCTCAGACGAAGGAGACTCGGCAGGAGGATATTCTCTCGTGATATTTTTAGCCTTAACGTCGATCCTGTAGCAAAGGTTATACCTGACAAAAGTATTCTTGGCAATACGCGTTGTGAATTATTTAATTTATAGGATTCAAACTATTGATACTCTACTATTGATCGATGACAAACGACCCAAGTAAACTAAAACACAGTGCAGTAGTAAGCCAATAGTTTTAGACATCGCTCAGAAATCGCTACAATGCAACAATATACTGTATAGTTAGTCTCCAGTTACATTCTCTTCTCTGGAACGACTACGAGCATTATGGTAAATACTGAATATTGCATTACAAATTAGGCATGTATTAGGCATGAATTATATACCTACAATATATTACCCATGTCATAAGGTTATATAACATTAAATTGATATTAAATACATAATCCAAATTTGTAATAGCATTGGTTCAGTTGCAATCCAATTCAAATCGGATCGTTATACGTTACATAAATTGACATACTGACTCGTAAAATTTCGCAAGCGAATCGATAACGCGGCTCAAAATTTAATGCAGTTATCGATTGGAAATAAATTTATCTGTCGCGTAGCTTCCTAAATTATTTCGTTTTATATTCCGTTTCTAACGATCATATTGACGCATGCTAATCCATTCGTAAAATAACGCTATATGGTCTTAACCTTAGGGAGATTCGAAGAGAAAAAGATTGTGCAATCACGTATAGTTACGATATCGTGGAAGTAAAGTAAGGAGTTGGAACGAAGCAAAGTATAAAATAATAAAAGCACAAGGAACGAAGAAGAAGAGAAAGGAGATATCGTTGCTTCTTCGAACCTCGACAGACACAGGTATATCTGGCAATTTAGATGTGACGATAATCGTCAACATAAAAACGGTGACTGCACTGTTTAACCACGAGCAAGCTGGAAAACTACTTTTGCGTCCGATGACTTAATCCCGTCAGAGACCAAAATAAAGTTTTCGATTTGCTTGCGAAGCACGTAGTGCATACGAATTTCTGTCTTTTTTGTTTTACTGAGAGAGAGAGAGAGAGAGAGAGAGAAAGTGGGAGGCACGTTGAGAATTTCTGAAACGCATAGCGCGCGCAGTTCCGGATTAATGATCGCAAGTGCCCCGGCCAATGATCAAAGTAGAGTCTTGGGATTTCCCCCGAACGATAATAATGAAAATAATGATAACAGATTGAAACATTACTTATCCGGCATTTGACTGGGCAATTCTATCGAAATTCTTTGAAACGCAATTCAATAAGCACTTGATGTATTATTATGAAATAATGTAAATTCTTTCATTTCGAATGCACGTACTTTAGGATATTCACAGATTCACCTAATTCTTCATGATCATACTATATTTCGTAATAAGACCTATACTACTAATATAGCATATCTATTTCTCAATGGGTCGATAGGATGCTGTGAACTGTGGAACAGAACTGGATTTCTAATCGGATTCGTTCATTCCAATCACAAAGAGACTTGAAAGGATTTACTCTTACTCCACGGCATACTGGACTCCGAGAAGGAATGACAAAGCTGCACGCTGTAACAGCTCAACATATTTTTTACGATATAAAAATATAAAAGGATGCTTTCCGAAAGCACAAGTAACTTGAAGGAACTTACACGAGCAGTATTAATACAAAGTATTTTGAAAACATGACAGTTTCAGTGGCTCCGGTTAAATATACAGGTTGTGAGGGGTTAAAGTTTACCATCAATTTGCTCTAAAAGGATTCCACGTCGAAGCTTAGATGACAAAGTTTCTGCTCCTATCGAAGAGAGTAAAAGTGGTCGAACGGGTTGACCCTGAAAATGGAAAGTACGCCACATGATCGCTGTGTAACAGCCAGAGCGTTACAGTCTTTTTAAACGACTAATGTGTCAACACGTAACGACTTGCGTATCCCTTTTTACGATCCGTACCAAGAAACAGAGTATGTACGCAAGAGGGGGGGAGAGAGAGACAGACGGACAAATAAAAGTATATTATGGCATAGAAGATTAACGTGAGGAGAATAATTTCATTGAATCATCCAGATCACGTTATCGTCCGTTGGAGAGAGAACACGGCATACTTTATTAGTGACATAAAACCTTACATACGCTATATGGCCTTGCATGAGTCTCTAAGTCGTAAGCATTACGTTTCCATATAATAATTTTCCTTTAATCTTATCAGAACAAAGGAGTTCGCAAGATTGCCGATAGTTTTCGTACGAGAGCGTTATACACCGCCGAGTTGGACAAGAAGCTACAGGATTTTCAATGCGTTTGAGTCTCGAACGTCGATAAAGTAGATTTCGAAAACTCGTAAGATAATAAGAGCGTACAGTTATGCATACAGCCAGATAAACACTCTCTCTATTAATGAACCACGTAATCCTCGATATTACGAAAAGCAGTGCTGCCAATTCCAGTGGACTATTTATAAAGTATTTCACCTAGTATTCAAGGTACGTACGCATCCTCGGTAAATGTTACCGCGGCTCAACATTAGAGGCTCCGTTCTTCTAGAGCCGTACTCACAAGCTGGCACCAAGCATTGTGGGAACGTTGCTTACTTGCCCGGCGGACATCTTGATTTTGCGTGATGTCACAGCGTGGCCTACTTTGAGCCTCTCCACGTGCACGGGTCATTGACCTCTCCCCCCAGTGACAACCTCCTCTTCCCGAGCGTCTTGCCGCGGCCCACAGCACCGCGACGCTCCGCGTCCTAGTCTTCCCTATCATTCTCGCCTATGCCACGCTGCCCGTTTCCTAACGCAGCTTGCCAACCTCATCGAACTGGCTGGCTTTGCTCTACGAGCCTCGACGAACCTCTGGTAGGACTGGCTATATTCAGAGTAGGTACCTTCCTACTAAGGTACTACTCTATCCGTCTCTACTATATACAGAGTATAACAGCAATCCAGAGAACTCGGATTTGAAGTTGCTCAACTTAGAGAGTTGGTACGCGTGAAAACTGTGTATACGTGGTAGGTAGCTACTGTTATTGTATTGTACATGAATCTCGGGGGTATAACTGAGCCAGGACTGGACGTGAGTCGAGTTGGGGAAACTCAGCCATGTGGAAACCTTAGAACTATGTGCACAACCGTGAATATCCTGCGATCCTCGGATGGCCACCAGGTCGAGGCTAAGGTTAAAGACCCCGCCTTAAGGAACTAGGAACAAAGCCTCTGTACGATCATAGGGCTCCCTGAGAGACGTTGATGTTTTGTATGTTTATTAGCCGATCTAAACCCGTTGCTATTCGAGGCACCGGGGGGTTCCTTTTCTCTGGGTTATATTCGATACTTCACTTCCGGGGGTTGCATAGATATTTTTTTACAATCCACTTGCGGAACCGCTAAGGACAGCTGATTTATGATAGGATTATAATTAATATTGGGATCGTGGCGGCTATATAGAATCGTCGACGGCGAATAGAAAGGCATTATTACGAAGTGTTGCTTCTTTTTTTTCCTTCGTTTCTTTTAGTAACAAAATAAAACAACTGGCACTTGCACGCTCACGTAAATTGCCAATCGTTAAATATAGGTCGTTAGTCTTGGTTTTTCTCGTGAATAGCTTCGCGCTGTATGTTCAACGATGATTTCTCTATAATGGTGCTTCTGATGTCTCAAAATTAACAAAAAACCATAATGCATATTTAGGTTTCAATTTATATTAGTCACCATGTAGATTTTACTTGGCAGATAGGTTTGATAATCTTATGGATCGTTTTTTTTTTTTAGGGGGGTGGTAGAAACTCTGAAGTAGCATGAAAAGAAGGTTCTCTTAATGGAGATATGGATAATGATCATGGTTCAGTGCAGGATCTACATTGTTGCCCACGCAGTGAATTTAATTTGAAAATATCGTGTTCTTGTAATCGAGGAAAAGAGAATTCAAAGAAGCCTGGAAGCGTGGCTCTGAATATTCCGATGCGCACGAGTAGTAAAGCTGCCACGTGGATTCTAAAAATGAAAAAAAGAACTCGAGCCAAGAATTATATTTGATGGTGCAGAAACAAAAGCAGAATTTTCCTGAAGAATAGCGTTAGGCTTAAAATCAAATGTTATACGTGGGCTGCTACTTATATTTCTGGCCTAGGTGTTGCCAGGCGCCATCTGACGTTTTCAACGGAAAGTTTGACATTTTTAACCATAACCTTCTACAGAACATTTTTCATTTGAGTGCGATTTGTGTTGTTCACAGTAACTTGAAAAATTCATCTTGGGCAAAAAATGGAATTAACTCGTGAACATTTTCGTGCGATTATTTTTCATAACTTTCGACGTGGATTATCAAGACAAGAGTGCAGCCATGAACCTAATTCTTTCTACAGCGATAAAGCACCATCCTATAGCACTGTAAAAAACTGGTATAACGAATTCAATCATGGTCGTCGTTCGCTCCAGGACGAATTCCGTGAAGGTCGTCCAAAATCGGTTGTTGTGCCACAAAATATCGATGCTGTGCATGAACTGATAAAGCAAGATCGACATGTTACATATCGTGAGATAGAGGCATCTTTGGGCTTTAGTATGACTAGCATCAATAAGATATTACATGAACATTTGGCCGTGAAAAAGATTTGTTCGCGTTGGATCCCACATAATCTGACAAACGCTCAAAAGAAGGCTCGTGTCGATTGGTGCAAGGGAATGTTAAAAAAATACGGTCAAGGTGCATCAAAGGTTGTGTATAATATCTACACAGGTGACGAATCATGGATCTATGCGTATGAGCCCGAAACAAAACAGCAATCGACTGTATGGGTCTTCCAAGATGAGCCAAATCCAACAAAAATTGTTCGCGGAAGAAGCACATCGAAGCAAATGGTTGCCTGTTTCTTCGGCATTACCGGTCACGTGGCGACAATAGCGTTAGAGCAACGCAAGTCGGTCAATTCTGAATGGTACACGACCATTTGTTTGCCAGAAGTCATCGGAGAAATTCGAAAAAAGCAGAAGAAGAGGCGAATCATTCTTCATCATGACAATGCGAGATCTCACACATCGGCTCAAATAAAGGAATTTTTGACCAGCCGAAACATCGAATAATGGTTCATCCGCCGTACAATCCTGATTTGGCACCCAATGACTTCTTTTTATTCCCGCACATTAAAAATAAATTGCGCGGACAACGTTTTTCGACCCCTGAAGAAGCCGTTGATGCATTCAAAAACTATGTTTTGGAGGTACCTCAATCGGAGTGGAAAAAGTGCTAATCGGAGTGGAAAATATTTTAAAAAACAATAAAACCAATTTTAATTGTAATTCTTTGTTTTTTCATTATTAAGCCAGAAATATAAGTAGCAACCCACGTATACGTAAAAGGTCGAATGATGTTTTGTATTTTCGATATTGGGTAACTTAAGGCTCAGGATGGTACAATATAATTTCTAGAGCTATACCATTTGCAATTTCATCATCTGATTACGATATGAATCCTTATTGTAGAAACGGAGCATGTAACCTGGCACTTGATTGGCAATATGATTTATCATATCTTTGATTTCCGGTCGCGCTAACGAATTTATAACAAGGTAGAAAAGAAAGGAATTTTTATCGGATCCATCCGACTACATGAACAAAAATAACAGAACTAGATAAATATTTTCGAGAATTTATTACGAGCCTGAGAAGAAAAATAGATTTTTACCCGATTTTATCGCACTTCAGGAGCGGATGCTTTTACGGCATACCAATCGAGTAGTGCAAAAGGTACGATTTACTATGCGGCGAGAAATTCGATAAAAAATGAATTAATAAAAGATCCAGACGATAATGGAGATATTGTGCATTCCTTTTACCGGCTATAATACATTTCACGTCGCCAGCATATTACGATTATCAATAACACACATCAGTTTCTGTAGATAAACTTTGGTAAGCAGTACGCAAATCAAGATTATTTGAAGTGGCATTAGAAAATGTTGAAACTAAATAAATAAATCCTTTCACAGTGCTAGAAAGGTTCTTGATCTAAATATTGAATCTTTACTAATGCCTACTCGAACGTGAGATCGATAAAAACAAGCTTGACAAAGAAAGTAAAAGCGGACTCTATTTATATGTGTATATGTTATTGAATTAATCTAACCGAGAGTGTGACTGGAATAAATGCATCAAAGTCCCAACGCTTATCAAATAGACTTTACAAAATTTCTACATATTTCACATGACACGACGCAATGTCACGTGAAATGTTTCACGAATAACAAATCCACATATAAGTTTTTCGAAAGTTTTATGAATCGAAAAAAAAATTAGTATTGATATACGCCATCAATAAAATTATACATATAAAAAGACATGAGCCTTGAATAATCGTTTTTCGTGAAATTCATATAGTAGCCTCTTAATATAACAAAAAAAGCTATCATACCAAATTCTGATATACATTGGTATGTATATAGATATAAATACATCCAGGTTGAATCTTTTGGGTGTTTACGACAGAACTCCCAGCTTCAATATTTCTTCCATGTCCGTAAGGGGAAAAAACGGTAGAGGCAATGGCTCGAAGCTGGGTTTGAGCAAGGAACCCAGAAGGATCATATCCGATTCCCGGTAGGCTTGTCAGTGACTAATAATCGCTATCGTAGAGGAGGGTCGTAGGTTGCTAGGTTGATGGGTCGTAGGCGAAAATAAATATCGTGCGATTTGGCAAAGTGCGGAAAAACGTGAGAATTTTAGGTAGTGGGGTTTCGATCGATGAAAGGGTCGACCTACTGACCCAGATCCTGGTGGTTTACGGTCTGCAAGCCTCGCTAGATCCATACCCTGCTTCCAACAGTTAAACCAGCTCCACTGCCATCCCCCAGGCTTTATGTTAAGTATACTCCTACTATCCTTGTCCTAACTACGTGTGAACAGCCGGTACGCCTAAGGCTGCGCTTCCTCAGATCCAACCCCCTGCGAACTTATTCGATTCGGTGAGAAACGAGTTTTCCCCTGGAGGAGAAGTTATTGCACGAAAATTCTTACCAGAAATTCACCCCTCTGCTTGTAACTCTACGGATAAAGTCACGCAATTGAATTCGAGACGAGTTCTAGAGTTCTGTGAAGGTTATATAATGGTAATAGATAAGGGGCGAGAGAAGTGGGAGGGTGGAGGGATTGAACAGCAAGTAGAATATTCTTACAGGAAGCAGTATTTAAATATAAACAGGAGATCAAGTAGGGAGGATATTTTTTTAACAAAAAATCTTCAGACGCTTCCTGTATCACAAAGAATAATCTTGTTTCTCTGAAAAACATACTTACTTTGTTATTAATAATAATTTTGTCATAATGCTTTTCCTTGGTACGCTATACGTTGACCTTATTAATGCTACCATGGATAACTATATAATGTAGATGCGTGAGGCAGTAGTGAACGAAATTAGTGAAGTAGAATGACTGTGGCTTCGACCTGATTGATGTTAATGAAGTGGGAACTTACATACATCCGGAAGTGAGAGAAGCGTAGCGGTATACATAAGACAGCGGTGCGTGCAGGTGATACCAGATCGAGATGGAAAGGAGATTACTGAACCCACTGTTCCCTAAAGACGTTCTCAAAGGAGATGGAAAATATAGTTTCAAGAATTATAAAGTCGCAACGGATTATCAAAGAATAATACAGAGAAAAGGATACTGATGGTAAAAGAGTAAATGGGTAAACAGAATTTGGAAAATTAAAAAAATTTTTTTCTACGTCCCGTTACGGGACTCCGTCGCCGATTGATTTGATTTAATACCGCATGGGGTTCTTATTAGATCTCTTTTCTATAGTTGGGTCTTTTATATGTCTATACGTCCCTGACGACGACGTATCCTCCTTCATCCAGCCGCCTCCATTCTGAAGTCGACGTGATTTCACTTACGAGATGAAACTTCTCGTCGATCAACAAGGAAAGAATCTATGTCCCGGTAAGTCCCATATTCTAACCCTCCGTAACCTATCTTGTTCACAGTATTCACAGTTCCTATGCTACGTGTAAAACTGGTGGATCAACGATTCACGTATGTCATTTTATTACATCGCACAAAAATTGAGCTCGATCATTTATATGTATATAAGTAACTCCGTAAGGAGTTATTTGATAATTATTTTCTTCATGATAATTATTAGCCATCGTGGTTATAATTAATGTTTGATATACGTATAGTATAAAATCAATGTGATAGAGTGTTTTTGCAAGATTTTTTAATTTTTAATTTTTTTTTAAATTCTTTTAATATCTTGCTTATATCGAATACGTTGGTATCACGATGTAGTCGGGTTGCCAATGAAGGAGACATCTCGGGTGAAACGCTCCGTACAGGAATTAGAATTTTTTACCACATGGTTTCGGGCCGAACTAACACACTTCCTATGCACCTACTTTCTAATATTGCTTCATCGTTATTTTACCTGGCCAACTGTCTTCTCGGACGTCCACGCGTTTTTTAACGTCGCGCTGTTCATTCCCATGTAACTCAAGGAGGAGCAGTGAGTAATATTTATTTCTGTATCATCCAAAAAGCAAGATTCTCAGCGGTGCTACTTAATTAACCATCGTGAAAAATAAAGGCTCTGCTGTAAATTACAGGGACGCTGAAGGCACGTTAATGTCGGAAATTTTATCGGATTTCTATTTACTCCCTATATAGATCACCCACGTTCGTAATTACAGGCTAATTTGCTACGACCCTATTCATTAAGATCAATCTCAATTATTGTCCTCGACTTATATTCACTTAAGTTAACGAACTCGTGGAAGTTAATTACTTTAAACATTAATTATGGCATTGTAGTGAGTCTGTCAAAACGATAGTTTAAGACTTTGGATTGATAACGTATATTTTTGTCCAACTTATAATCTCCGTACCCCTGAGACCGGTTCTAAGAAGAATTAGCGAGTTAATAATTTATATCGAAGCATATATTTTTTTAATTAATTAAAATCACTGGAATATTTTTAAATGTGATAATTAATGAGCTAATTTGTAAATAAACGAGCCAGTCTCATAAAAACTTTTCTGATTGTTTCATCGCGGTTGAGAGCCACTGCTCTAATTTTAGTGGGCCAGGCAGTTGCGCAAGTAACGGGTACGCGTATTAAACATGGTTAAATATGCGTCATAAATACGAATTCACGTTGCGAGGTAAAGAGCAACGATGAAAGTCATAGAGTTTTCAAAATAAAAGCGATAACGTTGGGTATATTGTACCGAGTACACATTAAAATTCAATTAAACATCATGTACCAGCATATGTAGCATACTTTCACGTCTCGCCAGCACGGAACAATGAGGTGCCAACAGAATAGAGCCTGTACTCGTAAATTATAACATTTGATTAAGACCGTCGAAGTCAAAAACCCAAAAGGTTTCGTAATTAATTAAAAACCATCAACAATACAATAAAAACTACCCATTTCCCTATTATTAAAAGAAAACCCAAAATTACGTAATAGTCATATAATTATACACGTTATCGGTAATATTTTCACTTAAATTACAATTTAACCATTAAATCCAGTAAAATTATAAATTTCGTCAATTATACGGACAGATAGTTGTAAAGTGCGGTGAGGCACTTGATAATAATATTATAAATAGAAACTCAAAGATATTACGTAACGCGTGAACGGTATGGATAGAGACGAAATATGGGTGTACCCTTGAGTGCATACATATGTGGTCAACATATGAGTCGTATATAGTAATGCGTATAACGCCATACTCGAACAATCTGGAATGTTCCATAGCACGTGGTATCGAAGTGAGAAAACCAATTGAAAAAAGCACGTGAATCCTAAAATAAGGCTATAGGTTATATTTATGTTGTTATGTAATATATGAACTACCTAGACTAATCTTACATAAAAGGCTATACGGCTATCGAATCTCGAGCAGTTTTTAATTATCGTCCATGCCAGCTCTTCTTTCGGTAGAATGCTATTACGCTCGGTAAACTTATTAAATTTGAGGTAATATAAAGTCTCGACTCTAGCGCTAGCTTACCTTATATACCTTTAGGAACCCATTTACGCTGTCCAGTTCAATATAAGGACAAGCACGGTATATAGCCAGGCACCTAAAGTATACCTAAAGCCGTTGGATTCAGCCATGCGGAAATTTTGAGATCCCACGTAAAGTTACACGCTGAGCTCGAGGAAAACTAGATTAGTGAAGGAGCCATTTTCTTGACTCGTTGACGCAAGGGAGCTATAAAGGGAATGAAAATAGTTGTTGGGATAGCCATTGCTATCTTCCCCAAAGACATATATTCTCAAGACGTCGCAAGCTTTCCTATCGGGGAGACTCTGTACTCGCGTAGAGGATTCAAACTGCCGAAGAATTTTTGTCAAGAGTAGAACCAAGTGCTTATGGAATTCCAGGATGCACGTGTGCCAAGAGCGAGTGTCAAGAACGCCCTTTGCAATAGCCCTAGAAGCATTTAAAAGGCTAACCTCATCATCCCTAATCATTCAACGTTCCTGGCTGTAGTCACTGTTTATTTTTACATGACATCCTCGACTGACTGTCTATGAGAAATGGTGAGAGAAAAAGAGCTCACTAAATTCTTCGAACAAAAATATCGATCGTGCAGCATCGTATGTATATAACAAGTCATAGATAGCCGAGCCTGCATTCAGTCTGGTTGGTAACCAATGGTCAAACTGGATGTGCGAGTAACCCCTGGTCAACCTTAATACGTTACACGAGCTACTGCAGGGGCGCGGACAACAAAAGTTGAAAGTGCGGAGCAAGGGTCAGCACGGAATAATAATCAAGGAACTTTATACCTATATACAACAGTCTGTGTGACGCTATGCCCCTCCCTAACCTATAAGTTACATAGTACACATTATATATTTAGATTTAGATATGAACGTTCCCTATAGGCTGGCCTTCAGTATTTTTTTTACTTTCAGGATCTCTGCAGTCTTTCAGCATCGTTCTCTTTGTCTCAATGAATTTTCTACGTACGTCTAGGGCATCACGTGTAACTTTAACATCGCGATGGCAGCTGACTCTTTACTCACCGTAAAACGACCACTGACCATTACCTGAAACCAGAGAGATAAATCCGTAGCAGCCGTGCTCTATAATTCGGTACACAAGTGGCTAGTTAGTCGTTGAAACAGTTGCTGGGAGGTTCCCGACCGCATTGCAGTTCTCCGCTATTGGATATAGGCTGTGGTCGACTTTGCAAGCCCAGTTTTTTTCCACTGCGGCATGAAGGTATGCCCTATGCTTCCGAGTTGAGTTTACGGGACTGTAACACAGTAGCAATTGGAAATATTGTTTGTATTTTTATTTTTATATTTTTAGCCATAGCTACCATGGAAAAATATATTTCACGGATTTTCGTTATGCCTTCACGGTGCTGTTGTCGTACACCAACTCGTGTCCGTCCATGCGGAAGATGTGGGTCAGCATTGTCAAGCAGGATGAACGTGGAGTTCCAGCTAGTATTTTCTTTTTTCACTAAAAGGCTGTCCACACCCAAATACATTGGGGCTTTGCTACTGCCACCCGGAAGGGCCTGAATCTAGTACACATGTCAGTTCTAAAACCAGCTTGTACACTTCCTCTCGTGAAGGCGTTATATAGGTGTTGAACGTGGTTAATATTTAGTTTTTTTTTTGTCGGTCTAGGCGTAAAACTGCCGCTACGCGCATGGGCTCTGTGAAATGTGCCAAGCGGAAATTAATATGCTTCATAACGAGCAACTGGGTGTCCGTGAAATTCTTATCGTAATCTTAAGAGTTTTCGGTCGACGGCACGAAACCTTGAGATTATAGGAATATAAAGCATACTCGTGTGCCTTATTGTTAGACAGAAGGTAGTATCGATCCGTCAAATAATTTTTACCATCATTGTACTTCTGTCTGTATAACGATAACGACTTGAATCTACTAGACTAGGTGCAGCGACGTATCACATAAAGCAGGATAAAAATAGGCTATATGTAAAACGTATGCTGTTATACCTGTCTCAGTACGTATTCTAAACATAGAAATTGCTCGACTTTGCGATTCTGCGAAAAAATGGCCCAAGGTGCTGCTTTTCCGGGCGAGCTAATTTTGCTGCATAAATAAACAATGGAAACGGACTGGTTAAGGGCTCGCCAGTGAAAGCTATTCCACCCCAACCTGGGAAGCTTGTCCCAAAGCTGCCACCCTCTCGACTCTTTTCTGCCCTCTTCATGCCTTGGAAGAGGAGAGAGAATACAGAGAGAGAGAGAGAGAGAGAGAGAGAGAGAGAGAGAGAGAGAAGGGGGGGTAAGAGGACGTAGCGAGTGGTGTGAGAATCCAAGAGAGAGAGAGAGAGAGAGAGAGAGAGAGAAAGGAATAGGCGGCGAGAGGGATGAAAGGGAGAGGAGAACGAGGCCGCGAGTATTGATCCCCCGTGGCGGTTGACACATTTACCAAAAGCTTCAACCGTGCTCCACTTTTGGGGAAAGCAGAAAAACCTTCCGGACGAGGCCGAGCACGCAGAATTGATGTAGCGTGTTTCACCTTCCTCATCCTTCGATGACATTTCACTTAATTGAAAGCGACAGTGCCATGCTCCGTTTCCCTCTCTTCGCCCAATTCAACCCTTTACATATTTTTTTATTTCTCTCCTTGAGGCCTCAACCTCTTCCGTAGGAGCTTCCGCTTGATTAATAGTTCGATCTTGTCGTAACATTTTTTAACAAAAATTCCACTTGATTCGCGTTGAAAATTTGTTGGTAAAAAAAGAAGAATTTTATTTGACGTATAACCAATTACTTTTCACCGGACTATTGATCCTTGGAAATCGTGAGAAAGATATTTGAAAAGAAATATATAATACCTCTTTGTCCCGAACAAAGAGTATTTCGACGATGACAGACGATTATTCATCAACAGCAAAAGTGAGTTGCAAATGTGTACAAAATTGTAGAATAATCTAACAGTATATCCTACCAGTTCAAAAATGAATTGGGTCAACCTTCTTCCACATTGTCTGAGACGGTTGATCCACTGAAATAAATTATGGGGAATCGACCAAGTAAGCTCACTCGATTAAACAATAAAAGTTACAAGGGGAGAATCGAAATGAAAAATCATTGAGGTGGTGTCGGTTGATGATGGAGAATATATGGTTACTGCAAGGTAATATACCTTCGCTGAATTTCAGCTACGGCTCCTATACAATGATTATCGTTGGCTACACAAGCGGAACTCCAATGTAAGCTCGGGAATGCTGCCAAATGGGTCAGAGCTTGAGCTGGGTGCTTGCACGAGGGACAGGGTGTGCGATAGCTCCTGTTGGTGGAAGGTTGGTACGCCTACTAGGGCCAGGGATACCAAGAGCAGAGAGGGCTGTTTGATCAATACTCGCTGTCACTGACGCCGCCCCAACCCGTAGCCGCATGGTAACAGAGAAGAGCGAGGCCTACATTTCTCCCCGTGGTACACGATCTTATCTTTTCGATTTTCTCTATCATTTTTCTCTTCTCCGTCATTGAACTCTTCGACGGTCATTTCCGATTTAAAAAATGTGTGTATATACCTACTTTGATCTAACGTTTGAGTACTCAATACGTTAGCCACTGAAAAAAAAAAGTTATCGATTACGATGATCATCATCGTATCAGCATCCTTACGAAGAACTACGTACAAATTGCAAGGAAACTATTAATGCGCAAAGATCTAATTACCCGTTACGTTTTTTTTTTTATCAACCAAGTCAAAACCGCAGAATGCGATTCGACGTAGCCCAGGCGTTTCCTATTGCCGTTAAAGAACATCGGAGAAAGGTTGGTACCTGGAGAAAGGAAAAAAGAGAAAGGTACTCTAAAGATTGATAATAGGAAGCTAAAGAAAAATAACGATAGGCAATAGATCGGATCAAGGATCCTACTTCCCTTAGGTACCATGAAGTGAATTTATCTTTCCTGTCTCGTGAGGAACGTTAATTTTCATTTGGTTTCTCCGATGATAAGTGCGCATGCGCAGTTACTTACGGAATTGCATATCAGACTTCCGACAAAGTCTTACGAATTATTGGATGAAAGAAATGATACCGTGAGGTATTGCCTATACACTTGGTACCCAGTTGATAGAGATGTTCCGTGATTCTAGATCGAGTCCCTTTTTCTGGTATTTTCAAACGGACACGCTACCTTCTTACTTCAACTCGAATCCACCTGGTGCCTGGTGCCACGGCGGGACCCGTGAGGCCGCAGTTTGTGTCCTACTTGTAACGGTGCCAAGCCAAATCTTATACAATCGGACCCAGGAACAAAACTGCAGTGTGTTTGATCTCCCAAAGATTGACAGATCCGAGCCAAAGCCTTCCGGTTGATGATTGACACTCAAAATGAAGTCTTAAGCTATTTCCATACATATACTAATTGTTCTAAATGCCTATCAACGTGAGATTGCTAACTTGACGTCTCTAATGGCTTCGAATGAATTCACTGAGCCAGTCCGAGAAAACCGGTATTCAGGAATATTTTAGGTGTCATCAGGAGTTAGCACCTACCAAGTCTCAGACATCAGCTCGCCATTATAATACAAAACCTATAAATATTGTTATCTGTTTCAACAGTGCTCATGGCAAAGTTAATATTGAGCCTCGGTATACAAACTGTATATCGTGGCATGGGTATGTGTATTCCAAGTTAAAACTTAGTAAGACTTGTTAAAACTCTCCAGTAAATTAAACATCAGTAAAGAAAAGGTCATTTTCATGCAATCCCATAGATTTCAATGCTACAAGATAATTGCTAGATATACGTATATATCCAAGACAGTACGTATATACAAAAGTCATGTTCAGGATGTCTAAAAGACAGCATACTGTGCTACATGTGTATATATATTATATATATCTTGATATGTCTCATAATAAAAAAACTAATTGGCATCTATGACAAGTTGAGAAATGAGGAACGCGCGTGCGAGTAAGGACGCACAAGATGGAAAGTGGGAAAGAAACCATATTCGTGTCGCGATTACCGTGTTCAACTTGGGCGTCACTCTCGACATTCATTGCCGTACTCTATGAAAATTCGGCTTGAAACGATTTGGAAAGTCGAGTGACCGTAGTCGGCATCCACAATAGTATATTATTCTACTCCACTGGGCGACAGAACTAGAGCACACAAGAAAGCGAGAAGAAGGGTAAAGCAGTTGCACAGAGACCGAGTGGCAACTCTTTTATACGTGGCGGAAACTGGGTTTCGAACTGTTCCGACAACGGAAGTCAGTAGCATCCCAAAGGAATGGCGTACTCGTCTTGGTTCTCTCTTTTATGGACTTTTTGGATCTCTTTTCCCTTTGCTGCATATTATTACAGGACGCTTGCAGGATATATTGGGTTTTCGATGCAGGTACTTCCTTTACTGTAATATCGTGGATATTCGCGTTAACGTGAATTCACACTGGGACACCATCCCATTTCAATTTACTTCGCATGCTTTCAAATACGCTTAGAGAATTTTATGATACCTGAATGGACTATACATCATGTCCGTGGCTATGTTGTAACCTTTCTAATCTAACCCTTGTACCCTGGGTACTTGTACACTTTCTCCGAACAAAGGCCTATACGGATACCCTGTACGCCTAACCCACATTCACGCATGTTGACTATATATATATATATTTAGTACCCGTGCTATCAAAAATAATAGGAACGGAACGCCAGGTGCTCCGCGGCCCTGGGGTCTTCGTGAAAATAAAATGCACCGAGGACAGAAGGTTTCCAGGACTCTTCCTTTGTGCTCCCCTGCTATCCCAAGGAGCATGCGCGAGAAGAAAGGACTAATAGTTTGTCGAATATAGCACGTGACTTGGGACACGTGCCTAAAGGTCGATGCTCTCCTATACCGGATTTTATTTGATTCCCTTACGAGTGGTTAGCGGGCCTACGTTTCACACACTAGAAAGCTCAAGGAGGAAAACCTTCTTTTTAGATGGAATCTCAAACACGGAAAGTTCAAATGACTCAGTGACGCGGGGAGAAATGACGTTTGGAAATTTTCAAGCGTAATAAACGCCAGATGTGAATGTCTATTGATAAACTCTACTCTTACAATTAGGTAAATTTAAAGCAAAGGGACTCTGGGTACATTTATTTTTCATTTAATACCCCATAAATGAATAAAACGATTTTATACCAGTCCCACAACGATTTCCCTTTGTACAGGGCGAACTCCAATGCGAACTGTTTACAATTTTCAGCGGTTAGACCTCAAAGGGCCAAGGAGGCTTTTGTGCTTCTCACACTGACACACATCACCGATGGCAACTGAACCCACTGCTGAAGGTTGCCAGGGCAACTGCATCGACCGATCTCATCCATCCAAGCAACCCCATAACACAGCAACCCTCCAAGAGAGTCGAGCTGATTCGGGTTGCACATTGAAGACACATATAGGTACATTTCACTGGAATCCTGCTGTTGAAAATGATCACGGGCATTATTAAACAAATATGGATTACGCGGGTAATCAAAGAATCATTATAATCCATATGGAAATATACAAATGAGTAAATATGAAGCCTCGGAACAGACCTATCTAAACGAAAATATAATTCCAAGAATTCCTCTAATAGGATCAACAGTGGCTGACCCAACGAAGTGAAGTTTCAGGAAGTACATTGTTATACCAGAAGAAGTTGACGGGTACTAGCCAAGAGCCAGCAAGAGGATAAGCCGTGTTCCATAGAAGCTAGAGTATTCGAGAGAAGCTGCCGCTGTGTTCAAGTAATCTAGTTGGAGTATGCAGCATGGCATCTGCTACCTTCGATCGAATAGTTTCGATCCGATAGGGTCGCGAGGAGCAAGAAGTTTGATCGACCGCAGCTGCGTTTACCGGTACGTACAAGATTACAATATAATGTTATATGTGAGAGAAAGAAAATATAAAAAAGAAAAAGCAAAAAAGAACCGTCCATCTGTTTTGGAGGTTATGGCGGTCCTGTAGAATTTGCAAATGAATTTTATCGTTAACCTAACCTAACGTAATTTCAAATCGACAAGTATACTCCCAATGTAATTTCGGACGGCTCGGCTACTTTCTCCCTCTAACTGACCAGTTGACCGTTAACGCCCAAAGACGATCACGCCTGGGTCGAGAAAGAAAGTTGTCGAATAGAAACGTACGGTGCACGTTAACTATTAATAGAAACTGGTAGTGGTTATATCTATCTGGTAAACGAGCGCCAAGCAGCGTTA